GGGTTAAACTTAAATTTTAAGAATACCTTGATATTTTCAACTCACAATACCTTATCAATATAATACCTTATTAGAGTGCCAAAAAACAATACCATGGGTAGATAGTATTTTGAAATATTGTGGCAAGTTATTAAGCAAGTTAACATTCCCTTCACACAAACATTCTTGGCATTCAAAGAGAGATTCTACTTCTTTTGTAAGCATAGTTTGAGATGGTATACCATTTCATTCTCATATATAAGACATTCAACCATCTACGAACTAGTAACAATTCTCTAGATTTGACATTATATTTTCACAAATTTCTCTTATAATTGCATTACATTCATCTGGCTGAATTATTTTTGGCTGTTATAGATTTACAAGAGTGATATTGATATAATTTATAATTTATAAATTTTTTAAAGCTTAAAATTTTTAATTTTAAAGTTTCTATATATATAATACTAAAAACTTTATATGATGATGGGACTCACTGTTCCACTTAAAGATGTGTATTATGTGGCTATTATGGTAACAATATCTCAATCATATTTATACAATATTATTTTTATGTATTAAAAAACTATTTAATGAAAAATATTAATATAAAAATAAAGTGTTAGAAATTTGTAATATTGAAAAAAATAAAATAAAGTAAATATCTGAGTTAACTGAAAATCAATATGATTAATTTCACTGATGACTTTATTATAAAATGGAATAACTAGAGCCATTCAACTCCTTTATATTAGGTTATAGAGGATCCTCTATATATTATGTCACTACTTCACTTTTATCTTACTTGAAAGTATTTTTTATACTCCTGAGATTTGTATAAATATGTGTAAATTTAATAATTACTATCCAAATAATTAAGTATTATTTCCTAATTATCATATTAATTTCAGTATTTTGGAACTTTCACTTCAATAATTTTAACTCTAACTTCATCTCATATAAAATTTGTCTCTTCAGTAACTATAACTAATATAATTGTTTTAGCTCCAAGTTTCATTTATTCAGATATTTATCCATAATATTTAATTGTCCAAGTGTCCTATAATTAATCATATACAGGATCAAATTTAAATATGTAATATCTATTTTTTTATTGGTTAACAAACCCAATCATGGATTTCTAACCAACACATGACATGTGGAAGTGTTGAAATGGAGTCTGAGATGGACCTAAGATAGAGTCTAAGATGGAGTCTGAGATGACCATAATTATACTTATTCCTTTGCTACCAATCCTTATTTAAATTTGCCAACCCTTAAACAACTCATTTAACCATAAGATCCCATAGCTAGCATTCTCATCTCAGTAGAAGATTCAAAACTTCACTTGGCATTCCAAGTTGTAAATGTTATATTATGTTATAAGTTATATTTATTATGTTCTAATGTGTATTGGTGATAGGGTCAATTGTAAAAGGGATTTTTATATAAATATTATATTATGTTATATTAACTATGTATATTATAATTATAATTATGTTAAAAATTATTACAAATTTTGAAATTACTAAAACTCCTGGCATATCTATGACTTTTGCTAGTCCTTCTAAGCAAAGCAATCAAGCTTAATGGTTGAGATAGGTGTATGTAAGGTGGTTGCTTTTTTTAGGGAAAGTTTTTCTTATCTCAGAGGAATTGGATTTGATTACTTTGTACTTATCGATTGTCCATAGTGAGAAGTCTATTTCTTAAGTAAACAATTCCATTCAATTCTTAAGTGTTTGTGATATAGGAATCATAGATGTGGTGACCCTTGTGCTAAGACACAACTAACTCTTCATTTATATCCTTTGGGGATGATTAGAAAGTAAAAACTTGAAATAAGAGATGATGCTTTTCTCTGCTTCTAGTTTTCTAGGCATTTCCACTCTGTATAATCCTCATGTATGGTATAAGATAGTGATAATATGAATGTGGATAATATAGACTTATCATGTGAGCACCTCTTGTGTGTGGCAGACTTTCTCAAGAGAACTAGACTAATACGAGATACAAATAGGTTCATCAAGAGAATGTCATTCACTTATTGGTTACTACTTAGTGTCTATAAAGTTCATGAGGACTTGGAGAGATGATCAAAAGGTTGACTACGAATTGATATGGCTGATTTCACAAATAATGAAACTATCAGTATGTGGATGTATCCCGCTGTACCAGCAATTTGCAAAAGAAAAGTGGTTGAAGATAATTGGATTTGAAGTTGTCCTAGCAGTACTAAAGTATGATAGATGAACATGGAGATATGTGCTAAAAGTTTGTCACTCAACTGTCATTGAAGAAGTTAGTCTAGAACCTCTTATATATCTTCTGTCACAAATTTTATCAAATTACACAAAGGACGTAATATGGTTGGGTCAATTGAAGCCATTATGATTGATTTACTTGTCCTACAACAGTGTTGAGATAATTGTTGTGGATAATTGTGGTTTAGATGGTATTGAAATAATTTGTCTCATTCACTATATATTTTGACCTTATTACCACTGCAGATTAGCATGTGAATGTCACAGGCATGACTATAAATTGAACCCAGAACAATTTGATATTTAACAAAAGTGTACCAACAATGACATCACCTTTTCCATCTTGATGCCCTTGAGATTGATAAGTTGCACTGCTCGATTGTCATGCATGTTTAGAGCATAACCCCATACCATGGTCATCCAGGAAACCAAGCTGCACATCTTCATGCTCTCAAATTTTTTGAGGTTGTCCAAGTTGACATAAACTTGTGTGAACACTGTCCAGCAGACAATGGTCTTGCATGGGATCTAGTGAAAGAACCTCATGGCCTCATCAAAATGCCCATTCTCAGCATACATGAGGAGCATCACACTCCAAAGACTGGTTTCTTCTTCTAGATTTGATCGAAGATGTTCTTTGCGAGGTTGATGAAGCCTTGGCAGCCACAAAGCTTGCACCATAGCCATCCATGCCACCACATAAATTGATCCAGCATGAAATCAAACTCTTTTGTGGTGGCCATATCCCTGAGCATTCACCAAGATCACAACTTGCACTGCATTAGTGAAGGGAAGATGACGGAATGCCCTGTCAATTCTTCGAGGAATCCATTCTGAACGTAGCACAGTAGTAGATTTGTCCATGACACGAGATCCTTGGCATTCGATCAAAGGTCGATTTCACTGCCTCGATTTGCCAAGTGTTGTGATAAATGAGTTCCATGTCACGGCCTCAGAGACACCAGGTAGCAAGATATCCTGGCAGTTGCGGATCCAGAATACCGCCACATAGCCAATGAGCATCGAGATCTGCGAGACATGATCGTGAGACTCCACCCCATTAAACGTGTTTTTGGCATTCTTAAGATGCCTAGACTAGGCAAATGAGCGAGATCCAAGAGACCACATCATGATCCGGCATGGAATCAAAGATCTTCTTCAGATTGGAGCTCTATATGTCGGATTACACAAATTCCACTGCACAGCGGCTCTTGGCAAATGTGATCACCAATGCATTGATCAAAGAAGAGTCACACGGCGTAGGCATGGACCATCATGTTCCAGGTCGCAGCATTGCGCTGGGAGATGCAATCGAAGAGCTTAGTAGCACTGGAGGTGTGCCCAACAGCGAGCGGCTGGTTCATATTTTCAAAGAAGCAACAGTCAAATGATTGTAGTAAGAGCTGAGGTACAGCACTGTATATTTGTGTTTTATTTTTAAAGAGACGTTATTAGCAGAAACTTCCAACTTTCGAGAAAGCATGGTAGAGAATGTCACTTTTTGAGATAGACTTCTGGAGAATCCCTGTTTTTCAAGGCAAGAATCCACCATTCTCTCTTCATTTTCAATGAGAAATTTGTCTAGCATGACTGAGTAACGACTGCTAAAATTTATGTGGAAAACTTTAGAACACAGAAGTTACAAGTTGGTCTTTCATTGAGAATGAGCATGTGCTCTAGTTTTTTTATAGGATGCTGTTGGTTGGACAACAAGGACTTACGACATTGTTCTATTGGTTCTTTGGATGAGCAATGCATCAAGGTTCAAGTATGAAAGTTTTCAATCAGGTCTGAGCCAGTAAGTAGAGTCTCTTGAGGAAATTCTTAAGGAATGTTACAATCAGAATCAAAATTTCCTATAGATTTGGAAATGGAACCTCTGACCAGAGCTCCAGTTTTTCAAGCCTTCTGCCAATTCTCTGGATTGATGAGATCTCATCAATCCAACACGCAGCTTTGGCAGCCACAATTATGTCCAGAGAATTGTTGCTCCTGCCTGTGTCATGAGTCCCTTCAATTCCATGTCTCTGCAATTGAGGCACTTGCAAGCTTGCTCAGTCCTTGATTAAAAATCCATCAATATGACCAAAGCAATACTTGTCTTTCTATTCTGAGCAGAAATGCAAAAGTTAATCCTAAGGACTTAACTATTGCCAAAGCATTATTGAGTTGATGATGTTATATGGGATCACTACTAAAGAAATTTAGAATTGGACAAAGCAGTAAAGTGTAAAAATGTGAGCCATTTCCTTGTAATGGTTTACCTCTTGACAAACTAATTTGTCTTTAGACTCTTAAAGAGAAATTCACATAAGAGCTATAAGAAGTTAGTGCAAGCAAAGCAGGAAGGGAAATAGTAATGGTAATAAAAGAAGGAACTTGGTGCATTGTTCTTTTTTTAAATAAATTTGCAACCATGAACAGTTTGAAATCCAAAAAACATCTTTGAAGACTTAATTTTGTGTAATAGCTACATTCATTGCTAGTATATTCTAAATATATCCATTCATTTACACATGCTGGAGCCCAAAAATGGGCCCAGTATCCAAACAAAGCTTGTGCAAAGTAAGACCAGAACAGATTAGAGAGAGGAAGAAATCAAGATCTTTGCCCTGGTAGATCTTTTGAGATAATTGCCTGAGAACTGAACCGAAGCCCATTGGACCAGGATCATGGCAGATTAGGAGCTTCCAATCTAACCTTCGCACAAAGCAAAATTAATAAACACACTCTGTTTATTATAGTCAATATGTTTGACTACTTGCGGAGAAGTGGAACCAATGCAAGTGGACGAGCCCGCATGAGCGTGAACCCGACCCCCTCGCCCACGTCCACCTCTTTACCATCCGGTGTTGTCCAGTTGAACCTGTAGAGAAGATTGGCAAGAACGAGATGAACAGCAGTCAACCCCAAGTTCATCCCCGGGCAGGATCGCCGGCCAAAGCCAAACGTCATGAGTTCCACGGCCGCATTGAATTCGCTGCTCATCCTCTCCGGGATGAACTCCAGAGGGTTCTCCCAGATTTTTGGATCCCGGCCGATGGCGTAGAGGTTGATCAACACTTGGGTCTTGGCTGGGATCATGTAGCCAGCTTCTTCAAGCTTTCATACACGTTGATAACAAATTCAGAGATCTAGCGAGGATCAAACCTTTTAGACTACTTACCTTACACTCGGCGGTGGATTCGCGTGGAACCATGAGTGGCGCCGGAGGGTGCTTGCGCAGGGTCTCCTTGACAATCGCGCCGAGGTACTTGAGCTTGGGAATGTCGGCCTCGCTCACCATGGCGCTACTAGCAGGGATCACGTCGTCCAATTCCTTCTGGGCTTTTGCCAAGATTTGTGGATGAAGAAGTAGCTCCGTGAGAGCCCATCCTATCGCTGTGGCAGTCGTGTCCAGCCCTGCACTCACAGCATCCTAGCAAGAGCGGCCAGCGAGTTAGTCAACACTCAAGTCAACCCCCAGTCTTACCAGCATGAGGCACCGGATGGTAAGATCTGACATGTTGTCGAGCGAGAGCAAGACGTCCAGGAAGCTCTCGCCGCCATGTCCTTGCTTGGCTATGGAGGATCGGTGCTCTTCAATGTGTGCTTGAAGCAAGGCATGGAATTTGGTTGCTAAGGTTCTCAGCTTGGGCAGCGAGAGATCCATCCATTTAAGCCATGGGACGTAATCGCCGATGTGTAGCCTCCCGCCCAGCTCGTTCCCCTGGTGGACCAAGCGGACGAAATCGTTGGCACCGAAGGTCCGCCTCGTCCCAAACACGAGCGTTTGCATGATCTCCAAGGTGAGGACGGTGACCTCCTGGGTTATGTTCACCGTTCTTCCTAGATTCTGGGAGAGCATCGCCAGGAACTTCTCCATCTCCACTTGCCTCACTGCCGCAAAGCTCCCCACGCGGCGTGCGGTGAAGAGCTCGAGCGTGCAGATCTTGCCCATCTCGCGCCATAGCGCGCGAAGATGAGATCGTCTGGGAGGATCGCCTCGGCAAACGTGAGCGATGGCCGCGAGGAGAAGGTCCTGTCGTGGGACTTGAGGATCTCTTGGGCGATCTTGGCTGACGAGATGACGATCGTGGGGGTGTAGCCCAGGCGGAGGTAGAAGATCGGGCCGAGCTTCTTGGCGAGATCGAAGAGGATGAGATGCGGCCCGCGGGAATTGCTGGCCAGGAGTGGAATGTGGCCGAGGATTGGAAAGGCCCGGGGGCTTGGAGGCATGACATGGGAGCTGCGTGATTTAGATCGATCATAGTAGAAGATCACCAAGAAGAAAGAAGCCAAGAAGGCGAAAAAAGCTGTGATGTGCTCCATGGAAGTTTGGAAATGTAGTGTGTCCTTATAAACACTTCAAATGGAAACTTCGGAAGCCAAAATAAAGATGTTATTTTTGTCTTCTTTCAATATGCTTTTTGTTAAGCAACAACCATTCTAAAAAATAAAGATGTTATTTTTGTCTTATTTCAATAACCTTTTCAACTCATCTTTGGTATGAATTAGTTATAGTGTAATTATGCTAAATGTGATTTTGAGGTTTTTCCCTTTTATATTATATTTCCTTATGTTTCTTCCATTCTTTTTATTTTTATTCTTCTTTGTCCTTTTTTATTCTACTTTTGTTTTCATCATTTTTATATTTTTATTACTTTTCCTATATTTTTTTTTGTGTTATTCTTTCATTCCCTTCTTCAAATCCCTTCAATGGTCTTTATATTACAATGGTTGACTGGCTTATAAAAGAGTATGCTGATTTATTTGAATTTGATTTGTTGTTTAAAGCTAAAATTAACATGTTATCCTATTCCAATTGGGGATGCTCATCCAATCAAAGTTTTTGTTCATTGTTAATCACTAAAGGAAATCAAGATTTTACATACAAACATCAAAGAAATGTTGAGCAGAGGTGTTATTCAAAAGTTATGGAATCTTTAGGCATGTGAACTTTATTTTGTGACAAAACCTTATAAGAATATTCATTTCTACTTTAATTATCATCCGTTAAACAAAGTGATTATTTTAGATCTTCCTCACACTTTTGATCTTGTAGATCATCTAGAAAGAAATCATTAACTCACTAAGCTAAATCTTATTTCTAAGTATTGGTAAGTGCCGATGACCAAGGAGGATATTCCCAAGACTGTTTTTATTACACCATTTGATTTGTACAAATTATTAGTGATGCCATTTGGTTTGACCAACATTTTAGCAACTTTTCAGTAGATGATGGATGTGGTTTTTTATAATATGCCAAAAATGACTACTGACTTATCAATGATGTCTTAATTCACTTGGAAGGGACGTAGGAGTATATTTATGATGTTCGGAAGATATCAAATTGGTTATAAGAAGTTGGTTTAAAATTAAAACAGTTGAAATGCATGTTTAGGTCCAAAGACATAACTTATCTTGAGTACCATATTTCTTGTGAGGGTTTGCAAGTTAATTTTGACAAACTTGTGGCCATTCAAAAGTTCCCTACTCCGAAATGTGTGAATAACATGCAATGCTTCTTTGGCAAAATACAATATCTCAGTCATTTTGTTAATCGACTCTATTGGTTAATTAGGGGAATTATACCACATGTTGATTGACATTTAGTAGGTCTAATTTACTCCCACTGGGCTTGACCCGAGGGGTAGGGTGTCAAGAGAGCAATGCTCTTAGGAGAGTTATAACTCTCAACTTCTATTCATAAGGGTGTGAATTTGTAAAGAATGATTTAAGAGACAATCCATAAGGGTTCAACATCTTTCTAATCACATTGCACTATTGCGAGTGTTATTGAAATTGTCAATATCATCTTTTATCTGGTTTAAGGACTGCGAACAAGCATTTATAGATCTCAAAGGTTGTTAACAACTCTTCTAATTTTGGTGTATCTTAACTACATTTGACCTTTCATTTTGCATGTGGATGTTTTGGATATTGGTTTTAGGGATGTCTTAATGCAAGAAACTACAAGTGTAACTGGTCAACATTATCTCATTGCATATATCAATTGTACATTACAACTAGTAGAAATGAACTACTCTACAACAAAAAAAGAATGTTTAGTAATAGTTTGGGGTTTTGAAAAGTTTTATGCATATTTGCATGGTTCTTGAATATTATTAAAAGGTGATCATATTATAATTACTTTATTATTAAAGTAAAAGAACTTGGTTAGTCATAGTAGTAAATGCTCTAAAGCTTTAGATATACAATTTAAAGGTTGTTCATTGCCTAGGAAGTTTTATGGATAATGTTGATACCCTTTCTCAAGATTCCTAGTGAGCTTATTGTTCCAACACCTGTGAATTTCTTGGATGAGGATTTTGTGCCGTTGACAGTTGATATATTTAATGTTTAGTATTCACAAAGTGTAAAGCAAGATTTACTTTCACATAATGATGTTTGTGAGGCTCAAAAGGTTGAGTTATGGATCCAAAGGCTTTGTGAGGGATTTAATAATTCTACATCATTTACTAATGACTTGCCATTTTAACATTTATATTTTCAATATCACCTTAAAGATGACCTTTTTTATTATTGGGATTTATCTTGATGATCATTTATAACTAGTGGTACTTATGATATTTATTTATGCTTTTTCCATATTTATCATAGACTCTCTTATTCTAGGTAGACATATGGGATATTAGTGTATGATTAAGAAGCTACAAAGTCTTTCTATTAGCTGGAGATGCAATATGATATTATTTGATATATATGTAGTTGTATTTGGTGCCAAGCCCGTAATTTGGTTAAGGGAATCACACCACATGTTGATTAACATCTGGCTGGTCCAGTTTGCTCCCGCTGGGCTCGACCCGAGGGGTAGGGTGTCAAGAGAGCAGGGCTCTCGGGAGAGCTGCGGCTCTCAGCTTCCGTTCACGAGGGCGTGAACTTGCAGGGAAGCGTGGTGGATTGTAAGCAACCAAAGGGAACGACTTGAGAGAGGATCCATGGGGTTCAAATATAGAGGGAAAGGGCCCATGAATAAGAGTGCACCCCCTTTTCCAATCGGTTAAGGGTCTTGGGATACTTGGGGTTAAGCGTCCTTGGGTTTGAATAGTACTGGGCTGGGTGACCTCCCGGGAAGTCCAAACTCAGGAGTGTTACAACTCTCCCTCGTACTACGAAAGGATGGTTGAAATCAATTGCAATTTTACGTCCATTTGAGTTAATAGTGTTTGATCTAATGAGGTTTTTTCCACAATTAACTACTAATAATGAATATGTCATTGTTGCCTCTGACTACTTGACTCACTAAATGGAAATCAATGCCCTTGCTAGTGACTTAGCAATTGTTATTAAATACTTCCTCAATTGAGTGGTGTTCTATTTAGAGCAATTTATCTCAAGTAATGGTTTTGTATTTATGGCTAAGGCATTTCATGTTTTAATATCTTGATTAGGGATACATTATACTTTTACAAGTGCTTATCATCCATATATAGATGGTTTAGTGAATAGCTTATTTGGACTTTTAAAGGAATGATTAATTTCACTGATGACTTTATTATCAAATGGAATAACTCGAGCTATTCAACTCCTTTATATTAGATTAGAGATGATCCTCCATATATTATGTCACTACTTCACTTTTATCTTACTTGAAAGTAATTTTTATACTCTTACCATTTGTATTGATATGTGTAAATTTAATAATTACTATCCAAATAATTAAGTATTATTTCCTACACATACTTTAAATTATCACATTAATTTCAGTATTTTGTAACCTTCACTTCAATAATTTTAACTCTAAATTCATCTCATATAAAACTTGTCTCTTCAGTAACTATAACTAATGTAATTTTTTTAGCTCCAAGTTTTATTTATTTAGATAGTTATCCATAATATTTAATTTTCCAAGTTTGCTATAATTAATCATATACAGGGTCAAATTTAAATATGTAATCTCTCCTTTTTTACTGGTTAACAAACCCAATCATGGATTTCTGACCAACACATAACACATGGAAGTGTTGAAATTGAGTCTGAGATGGACCCAAGTTGAAGTCCAAGATAACCATAATTATATCCATTCCTTTACTACCAAGCCTCATTTAAATTGCCAAGCTTTAAACAACTCATTTAACCATAAGATCCCATAGCTGGCATTTTCATCTCAGTAGAACACTCAAAACTTCACTTAGCATTCCGAGTTTTAAATGTTATATTATGTTATAAGTTATATTTGTTATATTATGGTGATAGGGTCAATTGTAAAAGGGATTTTTATATAAATATTATATTATGTTGTATTAGCTATGTATATTATAATTATAATTATGTTAAAAATTACTAAAACGTTTGAAATTACTATTATTTTTGTGTATAAAATGCATCATAAACTTGGTTGATGTAAGGTGGTTGCTTTTTTTAGGGAAAGTTTTTCTTATCTCAGAGGAATTGGATTTGATTACTTTGTACTTATCGATTGTCCATAGTGAGAGGTCTATTTCTTAAGTAAACAATTCCATTCAATTCTTAAGTGTTTGTGATATAGGAATCATAGATGTGGTGACCCTTGTGCTAAGACACAACTAACTCTTCATTTATATCCTTTGGGGATGATTAGAAAGGAAAAACTTGAAATAAGAGATGATGCTTCTGCTTCTAGTTTTCTAGGCATTTCCACTCTGTATAATCCTCATGTATGGTATAAGATGGTGATAATATGAATGTGGATAATAGACTTATCATGCGAGCACCTCTTGTGTGTGGCCGACTTTCTCAAGCGAACTAGACTACTATGAGATACAAATAGGTTCATCAAGAGGATGTCATTCACTTCTTGGTTACTACTTAGTGTCTGAGGACTTGGAGAGATGATCAAAAGGTGGCAATAGATATCCTTAAGTGTGTGAAGCATGAGCATATGAGTTCCATGCTTTGTAGGAGCTTCATTATGCTAATACCACCTAATTTGAGTTTGACTTAGTGTTTTGCGCTAAATCAATTCAAACTATCTCTTTAGTTTCCCACATCTATTTCACACTGTTAACACAAGACAAAGAGGAATAAAAATGAAAAGAAACATAAGGAAATATCAAGATAAAAGGGAAAAACCTCAAAATCACATTTGGCATGATTACACTATAATTAATCCATACTAAGGATGAGTTAAAATATGCTTAACTTAACACCATTTACAACAATTAAAACCTAAGTTCAAAATTCTCCATATGTGGGTATGGAATTCATATCGAAATTCTTTATTTTTTAGAAAGGTTGTTGCTCAACAAAAGGCATATTGAAATAAGACAAAAATAACATCTTTATTTTCTAGAAGGGTTGTTTCTCATGCGAAGGCTTCCGAAGTTTCCATTTGAAGTGTATATAAGGACACACTACATTTCCAAACTTCCATGGAGCACATCACAGCTTTTTTCGCCTTCTTGGCTTCTTTCATCTTGGTGATCTTCTACTATGATCGATCTAAATCACGCAGCTCTCATGTCATGCCTCCAAGCCCCTGGGCCTTTCCAATCCTCGGCCACATTCCACTCCTGGCCAGCAATTCCCGCGGGTCGCATCTCATCCTCTTCGATCTCGCCAAGAAGCTCGGCCCGATCTTCTACCTCCGCCTGGGCTACACCCCCACGCTCGTCATCTCCTCAGCCAAGATCGCCCAAGAGATTCTCAAGACACACGACAGGATCTTCTCCTCGCGGCCATCGCTCACGTTTGCCGAGGCGATCCTCCCAGACGATCTCGTCTTCGCGCGCTATGGCGCGAGATGGAGGGAGCTCCGCAAGATCTGCACGCTCGAGCTCTTCACCGCGCGCCGCGTGGGGAGCTTTGCGGCAGTGAGGCAAGCGGAGATGGAGAAGTTCCTGGCGATGCTCTCCCAGAATCTGAGAAGAACGGTGAACATGACCCAGGAGCTCAGCGTCCTCACCTTGGAGATCATGCAAACGCTCGTGTTTGGGACGAGCCGGACCTTCGGTGCCAACGATTTCCTCCGCTTGGCCCACCAGGCGAACGAGCTGGGAGGGAGGCTACACATCGGCGATTACATCCCATGGCTTAAATGGATGGATCTCTCGCTGCCCAAGCTGAGAACCTTAGCAACCAAATTCCATGTCTTGCTTCAAGCACACATTGAAGAGCACCGATCCTCTATAGCCAAGCAAGGACATGGCGGCGAGAGCTTCCTGGACGTCTTGCTCTCGCTCGACAACATGTCAGATCTTACCATCCGGTGCCTCATGCTGGTAAGACTGGGGTTGACTTGAGTGTTGACTAACTCGTTGGCCGTCCTTGCTAGGATGCTGTGAGTGCAGGGCTGGACACGACTGCCACAGCGATAGAATGGGCCCTCACAGAGCTACTTCTTCATCCACAAATCTTGGCAAAAGCTCAGAAGGAATTGGACGACGTGATCCCTGCTAGTAGCGCCATGGTGAGCGAGGCCGACATTCCCAAGCTCAAGTACCTCGGCGCGATTGTCAAGGAGACCCTGCGCAAGCACCCTCCGGCGCCACTCATGGTTCCACGCGAATCCACTACCGACTGTAAGGTAAGTAGTCTAAAAGGTTTGATCCTCGCTAGATCTCTGAATTTGTTATCAACGTGTATGAAAGCTTGAAGAAGCTGGCTACACGATCCCAGCCAAGACCCAAGTGTTGATCAACCTCTACGCCATCGGCCGGGATCCAAGCATCTGGGAGAATCCTCTGGAGTTCATCCCGGAGAGGATGAGCAGCGAATTCAATGCGGCCGTGGAACTCATGACGTTTGGCTTTGGCCGGCGATCCTGCCCGGGGATGAACTTGGGGTTGACTGCTGTTCATCTCGTTCTTGCCAATCTTCTCTACAGGTTCAACTGGACAACACCGGATGGTAAAGAGGTGGACGTGGGCGAGGGGGTCGGGTTCACGCTCATGCGGGCTCGTCCACTTGTATTGGTTCCACTTCTCCGCAAGTAATGAAGCATATTGACTAGAATAAACAGAGTGTGTTTATTAAAATCTGCTCTTGCTTTGTTAATGGATACGTTCGTGACCTACTGCCAACTCACTATATTGTGTGGCGTGAAATGTACTCAAATCTCTAATACGCAATAAAATCTGTCTTCCATTGATATGTTTACTTGCTTTCAAAATCCATCAGTTCTAATTCTTGCCAATCCTCTGTAGAACTTCGAGTGGTGGTAAATGTGACAGGGTTCAAGTTGTTTAGAAGATTGGCAAGAACGAGATGGAAAGCATTGATGGATTTTGAAAAGCGACTCCTCTAGGTAAGCATATCAATGATTTTATTGCGTATCAGATGGTGGATCAGAATTTGTACATTTCACACTTCAAAAAATCATTATACTGGCCAGGCGCTGTGAAATAGAGGACGTCATCTTATGACATTCTTTGCCTAGAGTTTCGTCACACATTTCATGCACGAGCACCCTATCTGATTGATAAGGTTCGTTTTGTTATTCAAATAATCTTGCGTGCTTCTGGATTTTTCTCTTCTTGTATGTCGCCGCTGGGAGACCTCCGCTGCGCCGATCACGTCTTCTCGTGGATACCCTGGCACGATGCAATGGTCTGGAACACAGTGATCGCCGGATCCGCGAGCAAAGCCTGAATGTAATGTTGGCAACAATTCACATTCCCATCTTTAGACTTTCACAATTGGAGGAAAGAAATGGCATATATCTTTCTTCCGAGATAATTGCCTGAAAATTGTGAACGGAACCAAAGCGAAGCTCCTAGGATGGGCAGATTGGGAGCTTTGCAATGACAGAGCTCTTTCTTCAAATGGGCATTGGTCTCGGTCTGCATCATCATCACCATGTTGATCTCACTATTCACCATGACAGGAGCTCAGAATTGCAGGCTGAAAAGAGAGACGCTGGGCATCCAAGCCAATCCAAAGTGGACCTGAAAACTTTGGTCTTTGGTCTTAGATCAAAGAACTCCGTTTGCATGTCCACTTTGGCCATCTCCCAGTGTGTCTTTCAAAAGCCTCCAATTCTGCGTGAGATCGATCTATCCCATTGAAGAAAGAGCTTTGTAAATGCGAAGCTCCCAATCTACCATGTATCCTGGTCCAATTCTATTTACAATTTTCAGGCAATTATCTCAAAAGATCGTTTTGGCTGGCAATTATGGCAGAGATCTTGATTCTAATCTGTTCTAGGGCTTGTTTTGCTTTTCGCGAGCTTTGTTTGGATAGAGCTTGATAGATTTTAAATTTGCAATTGTTACTTTGGTTGTGTACATACAATGGTCTCTCAATTATACATTGCATAATAAACTCTCGAAAACAAAGGTAGAGTTTAGCAGCATGTTTCCTGAAGTTACATAATTCAGGCGCTATGAAATAGAGAAGTTGTTAAAATGGATGGAGAGGTAATTAAACAAGCAAAGTCAAACTTTATTGACTGAAATATAGTGTGAATCTAGGCAAGACGATTTTTAGGGTTCTTGGCGAGAATGTTGAGCTCAGTGACGAGAGAATCCAGGCACCCGCCGTTCTCCATCCCACTGCGAACGAGCGCCGCAGCATCACCCGCACGGCGCCGGAGCTCCGCGCCTCTCTCTCTCACCATGAGCTCCTCGATGGCTGCCACAATCTCCGTCTTGGTCACGGCACCGCCCTTTGATGTCGGGAGCGCGATCGCGGGCATGGATGCCTGCCTGAGCATCGCGGCTGTCAGCGTTTGATCGCCCATGAGCGGCCGCGTGATCATCGGGACTCCCGCAGTGATGCTCTCCATCACAGAGTTCCAGCCGCAGTGCGTGAGGAAGCCGCCCACGGCACGGTGCCCAAGGACGCGCGGCTGGGTCACCCAGTCGGTTAGCAGCCCGCGGTGCCGCGCGGTACACCCGTTGGTACCGCCATTTGTACCGTTGGTACCGTTGGAAATGCCGTGCTTGGCGGTGAATCCCGGCGGTATGTCCTTCAAGTGGTCGTGTCTCACCACCCAAAGAAAGGATACTCCGGTGGAATCAAGAGCCATTGCGAGCTCTTCCATCTGACCAACCGGCATTGGAGCCACCGTTCCAAAACAAATGTAGAGAACCGAGGCTGGATCTTGCTCGTCCAGCCACGAGATTACCTTGTCTGGATCTTTGGGATCGTTGTCTTGATCGATCAGGTGTAAGGGACCGACTGGAGTGACTTTGATCCCGGAGCTCTCCAGCGTTTTGATAGCGTCGTCCTCTAGCAGGCCGGAGGAATTAGCGAGGATCATGTCGGCCCCGGCGGTACGCCGCACGGTATCAACGAGAGACTCGATCATGAACTTCATGGGGAAGTTCGGATTGATCACGTTGGACAGAGTGACGTAGTCGCGGACTTGGAAATCCGGCAGGCCTGGAATCTTGATGATGCTCTCGGGATCTATGCAAAAACACAGTGAGCTTCCTCTCCTTTTGGTTCGTTCACTCACCTTTTATTGCATTCTCCGCGATGAGCCGTGGAACGTGGGAAGCCATCGCCATCTCCAAAACGGTGGACGTCCAGAACGCGATCCATGGAACGCCCAGGTGCCGCGCGACGCGCTCGCCCCACTCCACGAGCACGTCGCAGATGACGCACGTTACCGGGCGGCACTGCCACCTGTCAAGCACGAAGTCGCCCAGCTCCCCCTGGAACCGTTTGAAGAATTGAATGAAGAGCTCCAAGTTCCTCTCGGCCGGGAGATTGATATCGTCTGGAAACCCCTCGAACCTCACGAACCCGGCCAGATCCTTGGGAGGAGCAGTGGGTTTGCTGCGGGAGGTGCGAAGAATCGTGACGAGGAACTTTGCTCCGCGGGATTTGAAGTGGCGGCAGAGGTGGAGGAGAGGGATCTCGTGGCCCCGGAAGAAGAATGGGATGGCGAGGAGGTGTGGAACTTGCTGATCGTCCACCATTGCTCTAGACTTGCAAGACAATGCTTGATAGACTAAATGGATGAACTTATATGCGAGAAAACTGTGTCACGGGGATCACGGCGGATCTGAAAAAGCACAGTGGCCAGAAGTTCCATTATGGATGCTTGTGGACGTGTAGATACTCCCACCAATCGGTGCATGGCAGCCTTTAAATTTATGTTCTCCTTGGCTACCGTGCCAACTTTCTCGTTGACTACGATTGACTTTTCTTGACTGGAGAGTCATAGTTTTTTTTGACTCCTGGTAACTTCTGGGAAGAACTTCTAGTTCGTTGATTATTTTGTCTTCGCAATTGACTGGACAATAGATTCTATGGAAGAACTTCTTGGAAGAACTTCTAGGAAGAACCAAGTAGATTTTTCTATAGTTGTTCTCAACACGGCACTAGATCTTTGGTTGGTTGGCACCAAACTTTTGGTTTAAAACTTCGTTTCTCCTTGAAAATTTCTCCATAATGGCTAGCGTTAACAAATTACTCTTCCTCTCGGCCATCGCGCTTGTCGCTCTCCAGATTTCCAGCGCGAGATCCCTTCACCGCAGGCTTTTTTGGCAGGACTTCTTCAATGTCACCGATTTCCTCGTCACCACTGGAGTTCCCAGCCTGGGAAACCCGGCGAATCCATTCGGAGCCATCGCGGTCGTGGATGATCCCGTGACTGTGAGCCGATCGAGCGATTCCCGCGAAGTAGGAAGGATTCGAGGGACGAGCACGGTGGTGTCGATGGATAGCCTCACATCTCTGGTGTCTGTGACGCTCACTCTAGACGAATTCCAGGGCAGTAGCCTACGTTTCTCAGCGCCGTCACGAATTCCAGTGGTCAGCTCCCAATCGCTACTGGCACTGGCGAGTTTTTGTTTGCCAAAGGCTACGCTCTCGTCGATCGAATCGTGGAGGACATCAATTCCACGTTCTCCTTCGATCTACGCGTACTCCACTTCTAGAAATTTCAAATACCAATAAAGAAATTTTTGACTAGCGTTTACTTCCACAGTAAAAGGTCTTTGACCAAGGAATCGATGCCGGATCGAGAAGATCCTCCTTCTTCCATGCCCTGTCTAGCGAGTTCTCCAAGATCGCTCGCTTTCTTTCCAAGCTCATCCCGCCTTTCAAACATGAGCTCCTCGATCGCAGCCTCCAAATCGGTCTTGCTCACAGCGTCAGTAACCGTGTTACCCAATCGTACCGAAACCCCCCACTCCTCGTCCAAGATCTTGCGCGTCAAGCACTGATCGGCCATTCGAGGCATCGAGATCACAGGAACGCCAACAGTGATGCTCTCCAAGATCGAATTCCATCCACAATGCGTCAAGAAACCGCCCACTGCACGGTGCCCGAGGACCGCAACCTGGGGTGCCCAGTCGGTTAGCAGCCCGCGGTATACCGTCCCATTAACGGTGTCACCAGACTTGAAAGCGTACCGCGCGGTACAGCCGAATTCCTTCGGTACTAGCTTGAGCTGCTCCGGGCGTACCACCCATAGGAAAGCGATGTTCTTAGTAGATTCCAGAGCCAGGGCTATCTGCTCGAATTGGGCTGCCGGGACTGGAGCGACCGTTCCAAACGCAATGTAGAGCACCGATCGAGGCTCCTGTTTGTCCAGCCATGGAATCACCTGGTTTGGATCGTCTGGATCACCCCCGGTGGAGATGTTTAGATGGAGAGGACCCACTGGAACGATGTTGATTCCACATAGCTCGAGAGCTCTCACCGCATTGCCTTCCAGGGCGTGGGAGGAGTTTGCCAGTACTCGATCAGCTTGGGTGCTATACCGCACGGCTTCCACAAAGGTCTCGACAAGAACCTTGCCGCGGAAGTTTGGATCTGTGGCATGGTGTAGCGTCGTGTAGTCCAAGGCCTTGAGGTCCGGAAGTCCTGGAACCTTCACCGTGGCTTCGAGATCTAGCAATCCATTTCTAAGATCACAAAGAAAAGGTTTGGAGTTCACGTACCTTTGATCGCATTCTCAGAGATGAGCCTTGGTAAGTTACTATACACGGCAAGCTCGGTCATGGTGGACGTCCAAAACGCGACCCATGGCACGCCCAAGTCACGGGCAACTTCTCCACCCCAGCCCACGAGAACGTCGGTGATGACGCACGTCACCCGGCGGTGCCGCCAGAGCGCCGACACCGCACCGCCCAGCGCCTTAAACTTTGGGAAGAAGTCGAGGAAGAGCTGCAAGCTCCTCTCGGCCGGAGGCTCCAGCGGCAAATCCTCGTAGCGCACAAACTCCAAACCTTTCTCTCGCTGCGATGGTGTCGCCCCTCCAGAGAGTGGCGACTTGTTTTGCGGGAGCTGGAGGATCGTGACGGCGATCCGGCCGCCAGTGAGAGAGTGGAGATGGCGACAGAGATGGAGGAGAGGGATCTCATGGCCCTTGAGGAAGAATGGCACTGCGAGAATGTGTATGTGATCCAAGTGTTGTTCCTCCATAGCTCCGAGAAGAATTCAAAGTTTTCCTTTTCTGATGGTTTTCTGCTCCAGCATAGCTGAGCTCGTTCCTCCTTGTCTTTTATTTGTCCGTCGTACTCGTTGTTCGCTCAAATGCTCTCATACGTGGCAGTAAACTAGCAAGCCCACGAATTCTAGTAACTGTTGTTTTTCTTTCTTTCTTTACTCTTGATTCTTTCTTGAAAACACAACGAATTGACCACTATGATTTGAAGTTCTACTTAGAGCTCTGGAAAAAGTGTGATGAACTCAGCAAAAGAAAAGGATCACAAAGAGTAGGTGACCAAGAAATATGCTATGATATGCTCATAAACTTAATAATACATTTTTTTTTGTTACGACACATGATACGCTCCACACAACCTTCAAGCTCAATGCTATTTCATGCTTCATAATTTACACACCCCAAGCTATCACTTAATGGTCTCTCAAGCATTTTATTTATATATGCTGTTTATGGTTTTGCAATGCCCAACTTGAAACATGAATGCAAAGTTTCAAGTGTGTTGTGAGTTGTTGAGATTATAATGTAAACTTTATATGTTGAGATTTGCTTTATGTTAAGAGTTAGGTGAACACGGGGAGAGTTAGCTGAGGAGCAATAGACACATACACACACCAACAGCAACACTAGGAGACATTCTGGTCCTTATGCTTACGCATAAGTTTGAGAATATTCTCTTGTTGTAAAGGTCATCACTCTCCGAGCATCACTGTTTGCCCTCAACCATCTCTGTCATGGCGACCAAAGCAAGCCATTAGATTTTAGGCTCTGGAAGTCGATAGAAACCGCAGCGTCATCGAGATCGTGGCCAGGAACTTGGACGAGCATGTCAGTGAACATGAGCCAGGAGCTGACTGTCCTCGGGATCATGCAAGCGCTCGTGTTTGGGACGAGCCGAAGCTTCGATGTGGACGATTTCATCCGCTTGATCCAGCGCGAATGAGCTCAGCGGGGGCCTCCACATCGGCGATTGCTTCCCATGGATCAAATGGATCTCTCGCTGCCCAAGCTGAGGACAGTGTGCATGCCTTGCTCCAAGCGCACATGGACGTGCACCGATCTTCCATGGCCAAGCAAGAACAAAGCCAGAGCTTCCTGCTCTCGCTCGAGAACATGCCGGAACCATGCTGGTAAGACTGGGCGTTAACTTATGTGTTGACTAGAGTGTTGACCGGTTTGCTCTCTTTTGTTCTTGCTCCTAGGATGCCGTGAGTGCCGCTCCTGGACGCTCTTCCTCCAGAGATCTTGGCAAAAGACCAGAGGAATTGGACGAAGTGATCCCTGCCGGCAGCGCTCTGGTGAGCGAGGGCGACATTTCCCTACTTCCCCGCAGTTGCCAGAAAGAGCCTGCGAATGCATCCTCCAGGGCTATCTGCTTGAATTCGACTGCCGGGACTGGAATGTAGAGAACCGATCGAGGCTCCTGTTGTCAGCCATGGAATACCTGGTTTGGATCGTCTGGATCGTCGTCCCCGGTGGAGATGTTCAGATAGAGAGGACCGATTTTGATTCCTCATAGCTCAAGAGCTCTCACCGCATTGCCTTCCAGGGAGTCATCTCCGAGAATGCGATCAAAGGTACGCGAATTCCAAACTTTTTCTTTGTGATCTTAGAAAACTTGGATTGCTAGATCTCGGAACCACGGTGAAGATAACTTGGATTGCTAGATCTCGGAACCATGGTGAAGATAACTTCGGAACCACGGTGAAGATTCCAGGACTTCCGGACCTCAAGGCCTTGGACTACACCGCTACTCCATGCCACAGATCCAAACTTCCGCGGCAAGGTTATTCTCGAGAGCGTGACATAGAGCCCAAGCTGATCGCGTACTGGCAAGCTCCGAGCTTCGATAAGTTACTATACACGGCACTCGGTCATGGTGGACGTCCAAAACACGACCCTCGGCACACCCAAGCGACTTCTCCGTCCCAGCCCACAAGAACGTCGTGATGACGCACGTCACCCGGCGGGAGCGCCGTCACGGCACCGCCCAGCGCCTTAAGCTCTGGGGAGAAGTCAACAAGCTCCTCTCGCCGGAGGCTAATCCTTGTAGCGCACGAACTCCAAATCTTTCTCTGCTGCGATGGTCAGAGTTTTACTTAGAGCTCTAAAATAAAAGTATCAAAATGGAGTAAGCGAGTTCTTGCAAGTTGGATTATCTGGTGGCGTCCTCGTTGCGGGCGCGCTCCCACTCACTGGCTCTGCCCACCCGTCTTGTGGGTGCCACTTGTGAGTTTATGTCTCCATATGTGATCGACTAGACGGTTGGGGTGTCATCAACTTACCTAACGCATAACTTTGAGAATCTTCTCTTGTATAAGTCTCAAGCCGAGAGAGCTTGTCAGCTATGGCGTCCCGAAGCAATCCGCCTCATGTTGTGGTGATTCCTCTTCCAATCTCTGGCCACACTAATCCGTTGCTCCAGCTCTCTGTGCAGCTAGCGTCCCTTGGATCCGATATCACATTCATCACAACGAGCAGCACTCTCCAAGCATCACTCTCGGCCCTCAACCATCTCTGCGACGGCGACCAAAAATTGAGGCAAGCAATTAGATTCCAGGCTCTGGAAGTCGATAGAAACCGCAGCGGCTATACGCTCCCTGAGAGCATCGAGGTCATGGCCAGGAACTCGGACGAGATTAAGAAGCTGGTCGCGGCTTCTGCTCCAGAGCTCGGGCCGGTTTCCCTGGCCATCATCGACTTCCTGCTTATCGACCGTCTCGAGAGCTTAGCTTGCAACGTTGCTGCGTTTTGGGTGTCGTCGGCGGCCATGCTCCACATCACTGTCAACGTCGAGACGCTCCTGAAGAAAGGATTCCTTCCGCTCTCCAGGAACGATCGATCGCCCGAGAAGAAAGTGGTGGATTCGTCCGTGATACCAGGCGTTCCTTGCGAGCTCTCGGTTTTCACGGACATCCCCGAGGACCCTCTGGATCCAGTGAGCTTTAGCTCGATGAGAAAGCTCAAGAACCTGCTCAAGGCTCCATGGCTGATGATGAATACTTTGGACGAGTTGGAGGAGCAAACTTTGGGTGATTTGAGGGACCAGGGATTTGGCAAGCTTGTCAACGTTGGGCCAGTGCTCGTCGGGGCGGTATCAAGCATGGAAGATCACGTCCAAAAAGAATGGCTCGACGCACAAGAGGTTTCGTCCGTGTTGTACGTGTGCTTTGGAACAATGGTGGAGCTCCCGGAAGAACAAGTCATGGAGGTCGGCTATGGCTTGGAGGCAAGCCAGCAGAGCTTTCTCTGGGTCCTACGTGAGAGCTCCCAGCGAAAGCTCGGGGATTTCCTCCAGGGCTTGCGGACGAGGATTGGAAACCGGGGGCTGATCGTGTCATGGAGCTCGCAGATTGATATTCTCAGGCACCCGAGCGTGGGAGGATTTGTCACGCACTGCGGCTGGAACTCGACGCTCGAGAGCTTGAGCTCCGGGGTCCCGATGATCGGGTGGCCGTTCATGGGCGACCAGCCCATCAACTGTAAGTTCATGGTGGACGTGTGGAGAGTCGGGGTGAGGATCGAGAGCAAGAACAGCAGCGATGGAAGCTCCAGGATTGTTGGAAGGAGCGAAGTCGAGCGAGCCTCCAGGAGTTTGATGGGCAGTGAAACGCTGAGAAAACGAGCAAAGGAAATCAAATCCAAGGCCATGGAGGCCATGGAGGTTTCCCGCGCTCGTCTAAAAGAGCTTCTCTATCTCTAGAGCCTTGATCCACTACTCTATATTGAAAGTTTCAGTCATACAACCATTTCTCTCTTGCACAGTTTACATCGATACTCCATAGCTTTGTGCTCGGTCTCACGATCTTGCAACACATCAAACTCGTCACCTCTTTGCTCGAATTCTCGCAGCTGCTTGATAAATCCCGCGTTTGGGCGAATCCCCTCCTTGCATCTCCTCAGGGACTCGAGCGCCTCGTCCATGCCCAGCCCCTCCTTCCACATCAAATACGCCGTCACCACCGACGCGCTGCGAGAGAAGCCGCCAATGCAGTGGACGAGAACAATCCCCTCCTCCACCCCTCGATCAATGAAACCCAGGCACTCTCGCAGCACCTGCGCTATGTCCTGGCTCTCCTCGTCCACCAACGGGACGATCTTACGCACTGGTGGAGTGCCAGCAAAGCCGGGGCGCTTCTCCTGGAGCTGCCGGGCGACACGAACGAACTCTTCCATGCGATACTCGGGCACGACTTTGATGAAGTTGCAGCCATCGCCCAGGCAAACTGGAGCTAGGGTGAGGATGTGGGTGAATCCATGCCAAGACCCAGAGACGAAACTACCCGCGTCGTCAGCGTTGCCAATGTAGAGCCACTCGCGAACTTGCCTCATTCCTCCTCGATACAAAAACCCTAATCTCTCACAGTCCTTATAGATCCTCAAGAACCCTAATTCCTATTTGACCTTTTTTGACTTCTCCTTATGGACTCTTCAAACCAATGTCGTCCATTGGTGTCATCCAATCTCGCGATTTGAGCTTCACGAGTCTAGCTTCACAGATCAGGGAATGCAAGCGCCTTGACCGGGCAAGGCAAATCCATGCAAGAATTCTCACGAATGGGCTCAAGAGCAATGTTTTCCTGTCGAATCTTGTTATCCAGATGTACACCAGGTGTGGCAGCGTCGACGATGCCTGGCTTGTGTTCCAGGGCCTTGAGCAGCGCAATTTCTTCTCCTGGACACATATCATTGCAGCATTTGCCCAGACAGGGGATTTTGAGAGAGCGATTAGTGTGTTCGAGACAATGCCTGCTAAGAACACCGTCTCGTTTAACATCGCGATTGCGGCATTTGGGCAGCAGGGGAAAGTTGGTAGAGCCGAGGAGATTTTTGTTTCCATGGAGTTTGTGACGCTGGTCTCTTTAAACTCAATGCTCACAGCATATGCCCACAACGGGTATCTGTCGAAAGCGAAGCTTCTCTTTAATTCCATGCCAGAGAAAAACGTAATCTCCTGGAACTCTATGATGCACTGTGTTAGCGAGCACGGAAAATTGTCCGAGGTTAAAAGGATTTTCAATCAGATGCCGGCTTGGAGCGTGATCTCGTGGAACATCCTTGTGACAGCAAATGCCCAGAGAGAAAATTTGGAACACGCAAGAACTCTTTACAATCAGATGCCCGAGTGGTGCCTCTCTTCGTCCAATGCGCTCATCACTGCGCTTGCGGAGAACTCACTCCTCGCCCAAGCCACAGATCTGTTCAACCTAATGCCCTGGCACGATATTGTGACCAAGAACGCGATGATCAAGGCACTGGCTGAGAATGGGTGCCTCGTCCTTGCTCGTAAGTTCTTCGATTCCATCCCGGAGAGAGTTCTCGCTTCATGGACACTGCTGTTGCAAGGTTACGTGGAGAATTTCGAGCTGGAAGACGCTAAAATAGTTTTCGACTCCATGCCAAAGCATGACGTAGTCTCTCAAACTGTTATACTTCGTGCATATGCCCAAGAAGGGTATTTGGAGGAATCCAAAGTCTTATTTGACACCATGGAGGCCAGGAATTTGGTGTCATGGACAGGAATAGTTCAAGCATATTCTTTGTGTGGGTATCTAGAGGAGGCAAAGTATATGCTAGATTCTATGCCCGAGCACGACATTGTATGCTGGACTGTTCTCTTCACAGCATATGCCCAAAAAGGGCATATGCAGGAATTTCTTACTACCGTCTGGAATATGCCGGGTCACAACGTTGTGTCAAGAACAGCGACCGTGGTGGCGTTTGTCCAAAGTGGTAATCTCGATCGAGCGATGGCGCTTTTTGATGCGATGAGCGAGAGGAATTTGGTCACCTGGACTACTCTAATCGTAGCAAATGCCAATGGCGGCAATGGCGGGCGCGCGCTGGAGCTCTTTTGGGCGATGGTCTTGGATGGAATCCATCCCGACGAGATCGCTTTCACTGGCGCTTTGATCGCGTGCGACCACATCGATCTGGGCTGGAGCTACTTCGTGTCGATGGGCTACAATTTTGGGCTCCGCCCTCGCAAGGAGCAGTTTTGCTGCGTGCTGGATCTGCTGGGAAGAATGGGGCATCTCGATCAGGCCGAGGATCTCATCCACAGCATGCCATTCGAGCCGGATTTGATGGCCTGGGGTGCGCTGATGGGCGCGTGCCGGATCCACCGAGACCTCGATCGCGGCGAGCGCGTCGCAAAAGAATTGCTCGATCTAGACCCCGGAACCGCCCACGTCTTGCTCGCACAGATCTACGCCACCAAGCCCAAAAATTCAAAGAACCCTAGATGCCCAAAATGATTCTCTGTACGGAATGGGCCGTGTTTGGGCCAGTGACCGTTGGAAGTTTAAAAAACGTTGGGACCGTTTGGGCGGATGTACCTAGGGTTCTTACGAGATCGTAGTAGTAGCGATCGAGAGGTATTTTGTATAGATTTCTCGCTCCGCTGCGCGCTCGCTATGGCGTTTTCTTGCAAGCCAGATCGCTCCAAGTTTACCAGGTCGCCGGTCGCTCCCAAAAAGAGCCCTTGCCAGGTCGTGCCGCGGCAGGAGGGGGGAGGATTTGCGCGAAAATGCAGCAGTCCAGTGTTCACGAGCTCTCCAATGCGCCCTCCAGGTGAGAGATTTCTAGATTTCTAGCTCTCCAATCTAGCATAGCGTTGCGAAACTATGGCCTAATCGCTGGATGAAATTCCTGGCAGTGAGGAGGGGATTTCCCTTGCCGGTGCCGAAGACGCCAGACCACCAGCACCTCAAGGAAAATGGTCCTCCTTGTAAGATCCCTTCTTCTCCGGCTTCTTCGAACAAACAGAGAGCTCTTGCGAAACCACCCTCGCCAAAGAAAATTCTTGGAGAACACAACGTCGTTGACGCTGCGGTGGTTTCTTCGAAGAGGTGCCGCAAGGAATGGCAGATTCCAAGTTCTTCGGGGATAGAGCTCAAAGAGAGCTTGAGTGGGATGGAGTCTCCGGCCGATGCTGCGTGTGCTGTGGATCAAGTCTCGACGTTTCCGGTGAACGTAGAGGTGCTGGGAGAGCCGGAGCCAGTGGCTGGATGGGTCCAAGAGCGTCCCACGACTCATCATCGAGAGGTGGCGGACTCAAAGGATTTGGCCAGGAATCTTTTTGGTGGCGTAGAAACTCCTGGAGAACATCAATCTCCTCAGCATTCGTCCTCGGGGAGCAGCAGCCATGGCACGAGCGAAGAGGAAGATTTGGCGATCGCTTCCTCGATGATTTTCGAGAAAGTGGAGCTGGATGATTGGATCGTTCATGCTCCTGAGGAAGCTCTTGCGGCAGTAACTTCAATCGAAAGCAACGTAGCAGCGGTGGTGGTGGAAGAAACCAAGACAGTTTCCAACGTTCATTGTGGAAGGCAAAACATCTCGAGAAGTATCAAGTGGAGCGGGGCTCTGGGATTCCTGGTTCTTTTGTTGTACATCTCGGCACTGGCAGCTCCACCAAGGCAGATTTTTCATGAACTCTGGAGCAGACGATCAGAATTTTGCGTGGTTCCTGGCGAGATAGAGTGGAGCTCCGAGGCAGACACGGTCGGGCTTTATGTTAATCCTGCGACATTGCTGGAACACTGCTCAGTAGCAAAACGCCAGCTTTTGGAGCTTTACGAGAAGTCTTCCGGCAAGCTCGCGGAAGGACTGGGCTTCAATTCCGTGAGGATCATCACCAGCTACTACTCGAGCTTGGTTCTTGGCAACCATGCAAAGGACGTTCTCTTCAACTCCTGCCGCGAGTTTCAAGGACAGTACTACCGCTTGAGGGTTGCGACAGTATCGCTTATTGAACAAGCCATACCGCTGGAGAGTACAGCTAGAGATGTGCTCACAGGATGGAGTTTCGAAGATAGCTTCTCGAAGGCGCGCCAGTGGTTTACTTCGGTCGAAAGCTATGCAAATGAGGCTTTGATTCACCGCTATCTTCGTCTTCCATCCCCGTCTATTTCCGCTGCTCATCGCGACGTTCCATATTTCGAGAAGCTTAACGAAGAGGCAGACGGTAACACTCACGTAGCGGAAACAGATCCGGCGTTCGAAAGTGATGAGGTTTCTAAAGCCATTGACTGGATAGGAGACACCATTTCGGTGTGTCGGTTACCAGAGCATCGTTCTCCAGTGAACTCAGCGTCGATGCCAAACGCAGCGGTGAAGCAAGACATGATCAACGAAGCTGATATGGAGTTGGAAATTCCCAATGCTGGAGAAAACTACTTCGAAGAGCAGCATGACAACAACAACAAGCTTTATCTTGGAGCAGTTTTAATCGTCGCAGTTCTGGGCTTGGCTGTTTCCTACCGTCTCCAATCGCCTGCGAAAGTTCCGGAGAAACCACCAGTGGAAGAGTTCTCAAGCCCGGGTTGCGAGCTATCAGTTCAAGATATAATGCGGATGAGAGGAGCTGACGAAGAGCTTATACTGACGCCGGAGCAGGAGACTGGAGGCTACTCGCCATACGGGAGTTTTACTGCTTACAAGCGCGTTGTTTACAACGAGGTACGTTTGCTGAGTATACTTATCTCGCTCGCATCCTCAAGTTCTCTACTGAAAACTTTCCAGGGATCCGAGAAAGAGGAGGTAAAACTCACACCCGTGAGGCGATCTAGCAGAATCCGAAACCAAGTTCCTCGTTTGTTCACGTCATAGCCTCAACGAGGTAAAGCTTTGATTAGAATTCATCTTGATGCAGTCAGCATATGCATCACACAGGCTAGGAAAGAAGCATGTGTGTTTCCGAAACACATGGAAACATAGTCTATAGACTGACTGACTTAGAATCTTTTTGTTCTAAGCAAATAGCAAATTCTTTTTAGCCATGGGCGAGCGCTTCCTTTACAGGGTTTGCTCCCGAGAGGAGCTCAACGAGGCCAAGCTTGATGGGCTACTGCGAGGCAACACTCTTGACAAGAAATCGGGTTTCATCCATCTTAGTACCAAGTCTCAGGTACAAGTTTTCTACTTCTGATTCTAGCTCTTGAGTGACGGCTTAATTAAGTTTCCAGGTTGCGGGAGTCCTGGCTCTCTTCTTCGCTGGTAGAGACGATCTAGTGCTCCTGGTTGTCGACCCTCACAAGGTAGCCATAGCCCAAAGTTTGCTTTTAAACTACTATTTTGATCCTAATGTTTCTTCTTCAGTTGGCCGATGATGGAGTGGTAAAATACGATGAGGCCGAGCCTGGCGTGTTCTTTCCACATTTCTACGGTCCCGCTGGAAACTTTACACCGATGCCGCTGGCGGCCGTGGTGGAAGAACATGCTCTCATGCTCGAGCAAGGCCTCCATGGCTTGCCTTTCAAGGACTGAGATGAAAAGAAAGAGTAAATTTGGTGGCGGTGGAGACATCAGCTCCGAGCTACCATCATGCCTAGTACGTGATCGTTCTTTCTTTTCTTGCTTGAAGTATCGACCACTCTTTCTTTCTTTTCCAAGTCATAGTTTGATAGAAGGGCTGACTTGGCACGACCATTGAAGATGGCGGTTCACCGCAAGCGTGCAACGAACGCGCGCCGCCGCCGCCGCTCCCCGGTTGAAAGATCACGCTATCAAGTCACAGTGGTGATGGATCGCGGGAGGAGGGGCTAGCGCCCGGCGATGGACTAACGACTCCAGGCCATCGCCCAAGGCCAGTGACTTACATTCCAAGCTGGGTCCTCTCTTCGTCACCGGCGGGGATGGAGGCGGAGGTGGCGATGCGGTAGTGAGAGCTCTTGCGAAGATCTTCAAGCTCGACAACGGCAAGAAGAAAGAGGAAGAAGATCGCAGCATGCCTCCACACGCAGTAGCAGCAGAAGAAAGAAAAGGAGGAGAGGATGGTTGCGTCCAGCAAAGTTCTTCGCTGCTGCGATGCATCACTTCCACCGCCGGCAGTTGCAAGCCCGCTCGATGCTACAGTCAGGGGGACTTCCGGATCATCAAGTCGATCGGGCATGGTGACATGGGGACCGTGTTCTTGGTGGCTCTCCGCGGGGACAACTCGCCGTATGCCATGAAGGTGATGAAGAAGGAGGTGTTGGCGGCGAGGGAGAACTTCCACAGGGCCCAGACTGAGAAGGAGATACTCAAGGCCTTGGATCATCCGTTTCTTCCTCGGCTGCTAGCTCACTTTGAGACGGACAAGCACACGTTCCTGGTGACGGACTACTGCTGTGGAGGAGATCTCAACGTGTTGCGGCAGAAGCAGCCGGACAAGCGGTTCTCGGAGAGCGCTACCAGGTAAGAAAAAACGAAACTTTGCTTGGAGGCGTGCTCTCTCGTTCTTTGGAAGAACTTTTCTTGCTTGGAAGAACTGTGATGAGTTTGCTTTCGTGATAGAACTCGTGTCGAAAAACTTTGGGTATTCGATTCGCTTGCAAAGCCTGACTCGGTGCTGTGGACTGCCTTCCTTTCAGACTGATCGCGTGTGTACTTACAGGTTCTATGCTGCCGAGGTTTTGCTAGCTCTCGAGTATCTCCACGAACACGGCATCATCTACCGTGACCTCAAGCCCGAGAACATCCTCATCAAGGAGAACGGTCACGTAATGCTCACAGACTTCGATCTCTCGCTCAACCTCGCCACCAAGAAGAAAACGTCCTCGTCACCTCTCTTTACGGACAAGAAGAAGAAGCCGAGCAAGCCGAGGCCGCTCTCTTGTGGACTCCACTTCGAGCTCCCGAGGATCATCACCCAGAGGAGGAAGAATACGAGCAAAAGCTGCAAGAAGGCCGTGGCTAGAATCTTCCCCAGGAGCTGCGGCTCCTCCTCGGATTGCCGATCCAATTCCTTCGTTGGGACCGAGGAGTACGTCGCTCCCGAGGTGGTGTGGGGATCCGGCCATGGACTGCCGGTGGACTGGTGGACGTTTGGAGTCTTCCTCTACGAGCTCGTCTACGCCAAGACTCCATTCAAAGGCTCGAGGAGGAAGGATACGTTCTACAACATCCTTTGCAAGGAGGTGGAGCTTCCAGGCCCTCCGACGCCGCTCAAGGATCTCATCGCCGGGCTGCTCGTCAAGGACCCGGAGCAAAGGCTGGGATCCAGGCAGGGAGCGTTGGAAGTGAGAAACCACGCCTTCTTCCAGGAAGTGAGATGGAGCGAGGTGGAGCTGGTAGCGCGGCCGCCGGTGGTTCCACCACCTTTCTCGCTCGAGGAGATCGAGCGAGGCAGGAAGTTTAGAGAGATTGGCATTGACGACGATCACCACAGCCAGGAGCTGCTAGCCAGGAAGAAGAAGCTCCAAGCCGTGAAGCAGCTCCAGGAGGGGATGCTGGCGCAAGCTTGTCCTCCGGCCTTGCAAGACGTGGAGATTTGCTCGTCGTATGATAAGTACGCTGCCAGTTGCGATCTTCCTCCTCCTCGGTTGCTCGGCGAGGGTGGTGACGAGGAGGAGGAAGATGGCGTTGTGGTGTTGCGAACTTCGACGCTGCTGGCCTCTGACGGTGCTCGGGAGGAGATTGGAGCCAAGACTTTGGAGCTTCTCGACTCGAAAGCTGCGGTGGGACTGGTGTTTGAAGTCACGAGCGAGGGTGACGGTGGCGGCGGCGAGGACGGTGGCAAAGTCGTCGTCGTCGTCAAGAATTTTGAGAGCGAGGAGGAGTTGCAAAAGGTCCAGCAGCTCGTAGAGACTGAATCCAATTCATTCGACGTGTTTTGATTAGATACATGGAAGAAAGAAAGCAAAGCAAGAACTTTCTTTTGGTCTTTTACCTTGCTTCTTTCTTCTTACCTCGCTCGCTCGCTCGCTCCTACCAAAATTTTGTTTCATTGTTTGTCTAGTACTCTTCGTAGTCCTCTTCCACGGCCTGTTCGTAAATGTAGCTATAGCTCGGGATATCGTTCTCCAGCTCGGCTTCGTTCTCGTTTTCGTGCTCGTTTTCGTTTTCGTTTCCTTCCTGATCGTGTTCTTCTTCCGGTGGGACTTTGGTGTCGGCTGGCTCGGTCTTTCCCGGAGGCTCTTCGACCCATTTTGATGGCGAATCCTCCTGTGTAGCATCCATACAGGTCGTGAGAGTGAGCGACTAGGCAAACATATGGCGTACCTTGCCGTTAAACATCTTCTCCAGCACACTATAGTTCAGCTTGGAGCTCAGTCTCTGCCAGTACAGTTCGATTAAACACCTCTCCTTTTATATGACGACCAGCTTACCTTTTTCTCTAGCATTTGTCTGGTTGCCTCGGCTGCTGATTCCGCGGGCTTGCAGTTTGCAGTATCACCATGCTTGTGTTTTCTAGCCTGGATAAATGAGGAAGAAGATCACGACCGACTGACGAAATGAAAAGCAGTGACGTTACCTTTCTGGACATCACTACTGTAGCTGCGGCAATCTCTGCAGCAGTTCCTGACGTCGACACGGCAGCCATGGACTCAGCTTGCGCCTTGAGTGCTGCCTCCTTGGCTTCTTGCTCCTGAAATATAACCATCACGCATGAAACTTCCACGTTTTGCATATCATACCTGGATGTATTCTTTGTTCATCTCCGTCCAGACAATGGTTTTCAGTCTGATCTCGTCTTCTGTGTTGAGATAGGTAGTTAGCTGCAGAAAAGAAACGTTTATGGCGGGTCTGGATTAATTGAAGAGAGAAACTGCGTGCCTCAACGTCGTCGATATCAGATAGTGACTCCGGTTCGTCGTCCACACTGTCTTCGTATCGCTTTTCGGCCTTCGTTTCGTGTGTGACACAACTCTCGGTCACATCGTCAGCGTCAAAGTAACTGTGTTCCTCTTGTTCCAGCTTTTTCTTGATAGCTTTTTCAGCGACTGGAGAGCTGTTTGTGCATGTCAAATCTTCGTCCTCGTCTGAGATGGCCTGGACAAAATGAAAAGAAGTAAGGACGGCAACACGTTCTATTATGCTCACCTCAGCGGTCAGCTTTCTCTTTTTGTTCTTCAATAGTCTCTCCCGCTCTTTCTGGGCTCTTTGAAAGGCCGGGGGTGCAGATCCTCCTTGTAATCCACCAGAAATCTTGACGAACTAATGGAGACAAGAAAAGAGAGATGTCAATCATTCAAGGTAGACCACGCTTACATCGTCATAGCAGTTTTTGCAGAGTCCATGTGCGTAGTGTTGAGCTCCCGAGTCCTTGTGCTCGCAAAGAATTTCCTTAATAACCCCGTTATTTACAATATCAGTCTGGGAAACGGACAGCATCTCTTTCTCTCGTTGTTTAGCCTTCGCTTCAAATTCTTCTGGCTGCAAAATATAAGTTCTTTGTCTTCAATAACAAAGTTAACAGCAAAAACTAAAAAGATTCTCACAGTTAGGCTACCAGCTTCTGTGTTGCTAAACTCTACAAGCCGCTTGGTTATCGTAGCCTTGCAAACGTAAACGACGCTTTCCTGAAGTAGCAAAAACGTTACACAAAGAAAGAAAAACAACACCTGATATTTACCACATCCGCTGTCGAGCATTCCAAACCATGAATTCGAGTTGATAAAAGTAAAGCAGCTCCACAGATCCCGCTGGGTCTCCTACCCGTCTAAGATCCAGATTACGTCGGGGGTCAGTATCTCAAAATCAGAGATACAAACCTGAATCCAATCTTGCTTCATGCTAGCTACTATCCTAAGTGCAGTATTTGCAATGGCAAATTGATTTTTGGAGGAAGTCCCTGGTGCTATTCTGTGTAGAAGTCCTGCGGTTTTGAAGAGTAACATCAGATGAGCATCAAGACAAAGAAAACAATACTCACGGTCCGTGAAACGATGGATAAACAGACTTGGATCCACAGGCTTTTGAACCATTGGATGCTGATCTAATCTCAGTAGGGTACATAGTTGGAGAAAAACTGCTCCTAGCAAATATCTGCAGAGATGCAAGGTCTGAGCGTTAAGGAAGTCACACGAAAATCGACCACAACTTACACACTGGTTTGTAGGCAGTCCGAGAAATCAATCAGCAGATATGGTTTATTTCCCTGTCTACAAGCGCCAAAGCTTGAGTTCGTATACGAGGAAAACTCTACCTGCAAACAATGTAGAGGCATGCTGCGGCGACTTGAGATGTTCTCCTTCCTTTCGTAAAGTTTTTCTCCACGGCTAACTATGTAGAGTGTTATGCCAGGAAAAAAGAGCAAAGAAAAGGAAGCAAAGAAAAGGAAACAAAGAAACTTACGACATAAATCCTATGCGCGGAACCAACGATATCATCGCCACCGCCAACTGAGAGCGAGCTCGCTATGTTTCGAATCTCCTGCCTGCCTTTGTCCAGCGTTCTCTGATGAGAATTCGACTGGTAGCCCGAGACGGTCCCGGTGCCATCGTCGACGATGCGAGCGTAAGTTCCATACTGTGATTGCTTGACAATGTTCCCAACGAATTGGCTCTGCGCAAGCGAGAGAACGTAAGATAGTTATCAAAGGAAAGAAAGAAAACTTGTTATCTATCAAAGCAAAGTTTTCTAGCTTTATCTCGAGCAAACCAAAGAGAAACGAAATCTACGTGAAAATCACGATTTAGTACCTGTCCAGACGCCGATTTCGCGAAGGTCGGCTCGGAGGAGAAGACATTGTCATCGAGCACTCTCCCACACCCAGTACAGCATCTACACAGTGATGGAAATTAGGAGATACAAAGATTTTCTTGCGGATCAAGAAACCGCGCAGTCCGAGCGAGAGCATTGGCGAGGACTTACATGAATCCATCGTTGTGCTCGGCAATCTGGTCCTTGCCACAGTAGCTACACCACACCATCGCGCGTCTCTCGCGGAGAAGAAAACCCTCGCTCCTCTCTCCCAAAATTTCCTTGTCTCACAACTAGGATTATGCTAGCGCGCTTGCTAAAGGCCCCTCTTTGGACGCCCCAAGTCGCGCGTTCGATCGCCCCCACACGCCCTAAAATTTCCTTTGGTTAAAAATGCTTCGTTGACTGTTAAGGTCAAAGGGCGCTGACTTTATTTGACTAGTTTAAACTTTTGTGGACAATGGATTCGAACCCATGACTGGTTTTAGCATTTGCAGGAAAGACCCGTTCCAAGGCGAAGCTAATAGCCTGGCGGGCGAGCTATGGAGGGCGCGACGAATTCAGCCCTAATGTGGCGCGCTAGCTAGGGCGCGCGGGAGCTCGCAGGATTGGTCGCAAGCGCGCGTGGAGCGAGGCGGGGATTGAATCGCCACGGCGATGCGGGAGTTTGGGCGCGTCAAGACGCAGAAAATGGAGGGCCGGGTCAAGAAATTCGTGAGGTATGGAATGCTCGCACTTCTTTAGGCTAGCGGAGTGCTTAGTCGCGGCGGTGGATTTTTCTCGCAGGTTTGAGAGCGATTACCTCGACTTTGATGCCGAGGTTCCTCACACATTTGCTTTTGAGACGATTAAGCCGGGCAGTGGCGATGTCCATGGCATCAAGCACGGAAGCAGATGGTTCTCGGGGCTGGGCAGCTTACAGAGGTTTGGGAGGTCTCTTAATTTTGGGGCCAGGGTCTTCTCCGAGGATCACGAGCTCTCCGAGACCAGGATCTTTGATCCGAGAAGCCGATTCATCCAGCAATGGAACAACTTCTTCATACTCTCGTGCTTGCTCGCGGCCTTCATCGACCCATTATTCTTCTACCTCCCAGTGATCAACCAGACGAGGAATTGCTCGCAGCTCCGGAACAGCCTCAAAGTTGTCGTCACTGTTCTTCGCACGATCATCGACTGCTCCTACCTCTTTCACATGCTTCTTCGGTTCCGGACGGCATTCATTGCTCCATCGTCGCGAGTTTTTGGCCGAGGCGAGCTCGTCGTCGACTCCTGGCAAATCGCCAAACGTTACTTGTTCAAGGATTTTGTCATGGACATCTTGTCCGTCCTTCCTCTCCCACAGGTACTGTATATTTTGCTCTTGTTGGTTCTTTCTTTCTTGTTTTCACTGAGCTTACATGTATCGTTGCTTGGTTCCAGATTCTCATCTGGGGGAATTCTCACCTTACCGCGAACAAGACCATGAACACGCTGAGATACATAGTACTCGTCCAATACTTTCCAAGGCTGCTCCGGATCATCCCTTTGACAACGCAGAAGCAAAGCACGACTGGGATCCTGCTGGAAACAGCCTGGGCTGGTGCCGCGTTTAATCTCCTCCTTTATATTCTGGCTAGTCACGTAAGTGCTTTGTCTTACTCACTGTTTTAATTGTCTAAACTGGAAGGAATTGTCAACCTGTGTGACTTTATAGGTGCTTGGAGCGTGGTGGTATTTGCTGTCGACCCAAGCTCAAGACCGGTGCTGGAGGAGAAATTGTTCCAACAGTTGCAACAGTGACTTCTTCGACTGTGGTGCTGATATAGACAACTCCGCGCGAACGGAATGGTTAAATGCAGTGCAAGCGAACTGTTCCACAAACTCTACGTTTTCCTACGGGATTTACAAGGACGCTCTTGACAATGGAATCATCTCTACTGGACTAGACTTCGTCAACCAGTACTTTTATTGCCTCTGGTGGGGTCTTCGCAATTTGAGGTAAGCTACAAAGTCTTGAATTGTATTGCGAGACTCACTTTTCTGTGTTTTTCTGTACTGCAGCTCGCTCGGTCAAGGCCTTGCAACAAGCAATTACGTGGAGGAGACGCTGTTTGCCATTCTGATTGGTATACTTGGCTTGATCTTCTTCGCGTTTCTCATTGGCAATATGCAGGCAAGTGCACTCTTGACATCTGACTTTGTAGTGACAAAGTTTTCTTATTGCAGACTTACCTTGCGTCAATAACCGTCAGACTTGAAGAGATGAGACTCAAGCGGCGAGATTCCGAGCAGTGGATGCGTCACAGACAACTCCCTCCCGTCCTTCGTGATCGAGTTCGACGCTATGACCAGTACAAGTGGGTCACAACCAGAGGAGTTGACGAGGAATTGCTCGTGCAAACATTACCTCTGGATCTCCGACGCGATATCAAGCGCCATCTTTGTTTGGACCTTGTTCGACAAGTAAGCAAAATGATCCATCAGTGTTTGGCAAACCATGAGTTTGACGTTTCTTTCTCCAGGTTCCAATGTTCGATAAAATGGACGAGCGGCTACTAGAAGCTATTTGCGAGCGTTTGCAACCGGCACTCCACACCGAAGGCAACTACATCGTCCGAGAGGGAGACCCGGTGAACGAGATGCTCTTCATCATCCGGGGACGCCTCGAGAGCGTGACAACAAACGGTGGACGAACCGGCTTCTACAACGTCCAAGAGCTCGGGCCCGGTGCCTTTTGTGGAGAGGAGCTACTCACTTGGGCTCTCCATCCCAAACCAAGCAAGAACCTCCCATCCTCGACGCGGACAGTCCGAGCACTGGTGGAAGTGGAGGCCTTCTCACTCAAGGCCGAGGATCTCAAGTTCGTGGCCGGCCAGTTCCGCCGCCTCCACAGCAAGCAGCTCCAGCACACTTTCAGATACTACTCCCAGCAGTGGCGGACTTGGGCCGTGCTCTACATCCAGGCGGCGTGGAGGCGCTTCCAGCGGAGGAAGGAGCACGAGCGGCGAGAAACCGTGGATCAGAGCCTCCAGGAGGCTGCCATCGACGCCATCGCTGGGACGAGAACGTCCGGGACGTCGATCGGGGCGGCGCTGCTGGCGTCTCGATTTGCTGCGAATGCTCTTCGCGGTGTACATAGGATGAGGCTGGCCAGGGCGGCGGAGCTGACGGTTAAGTTGTCCAAGCCGGCGGAACCGGATTTTAGCGCTCCAGAGGAGGACGAGTAGCGCTCTAAAGAGAGACGAGAGAGCTTCTCTCTCTTTTTTCCTAGTGTAACATTTACCCGGGAAGAAGAAGAAAAGATAGGAAGTGTCAATGGGTCGCCGGTTCCAATCTCTTTAGATTTTAGGGCTTTAGATTTTAGCGCCATTTTCAAATTTAGGGTTTATGAGGGTTTGGGCGATCGGCAGCGCCATTCGCAGGGAGAATCGGCGGCAGCGGCGGCGGGAGGGATTGTGGAGTGTGTTGCATCGGCGGCTACACGAGGATTCCGGTGATGGCGGCAATGCCTGGGATGTGGAGGAGGCCCTCAGGCTCCGGGAGGGGACGTCGTGCTCGTACAGGTATACGTGCTTAGTCAGGCGGTGTAGGGATCGGCAGGCGCTCGAGGAAGGGCGGCGCGTGCACGAGCAGATCCGGAAGAACGGGTTTGAGGGGGAGACGTTCCTGGGGAATCTGCTGGTGGAGATGTACGCCAAGTGTGGGAGCTGGGAGGATGCGAGGCAGGCTTTCGAGAAGATAGAACACAAGAATGCTTTCTCTTTCGGGACGGTGATCGCCGCGGCAGCTCAAGAGAGGGATCACAAGTGGGCAGTGGCTGGTTTGTTTGGGAGATTGCTGCTGGAAGGCCTGAGACCGGACAGGCAGATACTTCTCTGTTTGATCTCGTCGTGCGCGTCGCTCGACACAGCCAGGTCGGCCCATGCTTGCCTCGTAGATAGCGGTTTAGAGCAGGAGCTGGGGAATACGATGGTGAGCACGTATCTCAAATGCGAGGGGCTGGAGGAGGCAAGGGAGATTTTCGAGAGGCTTGAGAGCAAAGGATTGTTCGCGTGGACTGCGATCATTGGAGCCTGTGCTCAGAGAGGTCACAACAGGGAAGCGCTCGAGTTTTTCCATCGGCTGGACTGCGAGGGTGTAAAGCCGGACATTGTGAGCTTCATTAACACACTCCGAGCGTGCACCAACTTGGAAGATTTGTCCGAAGGGAGGGGAATTCATCGCCGCCTCTCGGCCGAGGGCCTCGACTCGGATGTGATCGTCGGCAACGCGCTGGTAAACATGTACAGCAGGTGTGGTTATCTGGAAGAAGCCAGGGACGTTTTCGACAGGAGTTTAAAGAGCGAGGCCTCGTGGAACACGCTGATCACCGCTTACTCACGGGAAGAACGCTCCAGGGATGCGATCCAGCTCTTTCAGGAAATGCTCTTAGATGGTACCAAGCCAAACGACGTGACGTTCGTCGGCATAACTGGAGCTTGCAGTAAGGACCGCTATGCAAAGCAGGTCCACGAATGCGTGATTGCTTCCGGGGTAGAGAACCAGCCCGTCTTGGGAACCGCAATCGTGACCATGTACGGGAAATCTGGCAATCTGGTCGAGGCCAGCCAAGTCTTTGACAGGCTTAGCTCCAGGAATATCATCACTTGGAACACACTCATGGGAGCTTACGCGCAGTATGGTCACCCGGATGAAGTTCTGAGGCTTCAGAAAAGGATGGAGCTGGAAGGAGTGAAGCAAAACAGGGTCACGTATCTGAGCCTTTTGGACGCTTGCTCGGAATTGGAGAGCCTGACCGATGGTCAGGCCTTGCACGCACGAATCACCGCTACAGGCTACGTCGGTGACGCTGTTCTTGACAGCGCCGTCGTCAACATGTACACGAAATGCAAGAGCTTGGAGCGAGCGAGGCGCGTGTTTGATCGAATGCAGCTAAAGACAGAGGTTACGTGGACGACACTTATCTCGGCTTATGCTCAACAGGGCCAAGGTATGGAAGCTCTGAAACTTTTTAGACAGATGGACCTTGCAGGGGTCAAGGCGGACGAAGTAACTTACGTCAATGTTCTTGGTGCCTGTTGCAGTTTGGGAGTGCGCTCCGAGGCCGAGTCCATTCGTTCCAGGATATCTGCCAGTGGTATCCTCCACTCGTCCGGTGTTCTGAGGAACAATCTCGTCAACGTCTACGGAAAGCTTGGCGACGTCGCCCACGCACGCAGAGTGTTCGAGGAGATGGAGACGAGAGATGTGTGCTCGTGCACGACGATGATCGCAGCGTACGCGCAGAACGGACACGAGAGGCAAGCGTTGCAGCTCTACCACAAGATGGACCTCGAAGGATTGAAGTCCGACGACGTGACATACATCAGTGTGCTGGAAGCTTGCAGCCGGATCGATGCAGTAAGAACGGGAAAACAGATTCACGAGAGGATAGTTTCCAGTGGCTCCGACTCCGATGTCTACGTCTCCACTGCGCTCGTCAACATGTATGGCAAGTGTGGAGACTTGGAGAACGCACGGGAGGTGTTTGACAGGATGACAACGAGAACGGTGGTGACATGGAACACGCTCTTAACGGCGTATGGTCAGCACGGGCACAGCGAGGAAGCCATCAGACTCTACCAGAGAATGGAGCCGGACGGAGTTGAGCCCGACGAGATCACCTACGTTACCATCGTCGGTGCTTGCGGTGACATGCAGTCTCTAGCGGAAGGAAGGCCCGTCCACGACAGGATAGTGAGAGCCGGCCTGGAGAACGGAGCGCTCGTCTCCACAGCACTCGTCAGCATGTATGGCAAGTGCGGGAGCCTGGACGAAGCACGGAAGATCTTCGACGGCTCCGACTTGAGCAACCTGGTCTCGTGGAACGCAATGATCGTGGCGTATGCTCAAAACGGGGAGGGGAAGCAGGGGCTGGAGCTGTACGAGCTCATGAACTTGGGCGGCGTGGAGCCGAACGGCGTGACTTACACCGGAGTGCTGTTTGCGTGCGCACACGCGGGGCTGCTGGACGAGGCCTGGAAGCAGTTCGTGTCGCTCAAGACGGACAGGGGGATCGAGTGGGAGGACGAGCACTTCAGCTGCATGACGGATATGCTGGGCCGGCTGGGAAGGCTGGAGGAGGCCGAGGAGTTTCTCAAGAGGTTTCCACAGGCGGGTGGAGTTCCATGGCTGTCACTGCTCAACTCGTGCCAGATGCATGGGGATTTGGAGCGCGGGAAGCGGGTGTCGCAGGAGGCCATGAAGAGGAACCCGGAGACATCGTCGTCGTACGTGATGCTCTCCAACATCTACGCGGCACCAGAGGTTGCAAAGATGAAAAGCAGGCTCGGGTTTTGGTATTCCAGGCACTCCAAGTCGCAGGATATCACTTGAAAGGTACTTAAACTTAAAAGGTTTTCCTATTTTTCTAAAGGAAACTTTTTCGGCACATTCCAGGATGTACGACCCTTTTCCCCGGAGTATAAAAAGGATTGCGAGGTTATCAAAGGTCTCAAAGCATACATATGGCGAATCACAAGGATGGGTATGTTCCAGTGGAGCAAGTCTTGAGCGAGCTGCGACGATCGGCAGAGAGGCTACCCATCCGCACCAGGGATTTGATGGATCTCATGGATGTGGTGTCCAAGTTGCTCTACGAGTCGCTTCCAGGAGATTCTGGCAAGGAAAGGAGAACAACAGGGGAGGAGATCCAGGGCAAGTCAAGTTTTCCTCTTGTGGAGAAACTTCCCAAGAAGAAAAGAGAAGCAGATGTGGGCGATACGAAGAACTTGGAGGAGGAGGAGGAGGATTACAAGCTCTTGGATGGGATATCGAAGAAACCTCGGCTGCTGACTAAAATAGTGCCCAAAAAGTATAATCTCAGGGCACACGAGCAGCACACTGCCACCCTTTGCTCTATGTACCAGTGCCACTGAGTGACAACATCCAATCAATCACGGCAATGGTTATCCAAATATTCTAGGGCATTTTAATATTTTATTGTAAAGCATAGCTAGAAAACACATTGTATTGTAGGCTATTTCACATATAAAGGCTAATAAAAAATGTTAAATAATCTAAACAATGTAGACAATGATTTTGAATTCTAATGTGGTCATACTTGCAACTGTGACGAGATAAATCACGCTTGGAGCTCAAACTTGCCTTTCTTCACCTGAGCTTACATTTGTAACCCAAGCTCTTCATCATGGCCTGTTTCTTACGAATCCTCTTTACCATGGTTTCCCTTTGCTGCATTTTTACCGCCTCTAGCAGCACCATGGTAAACGTGCCCTCGTCACACCTCCCACTGAGGAGCTCCGGCGCAGTGGCCACGAGGCCCCGCCGCAGCAGCTGCTTGACCACCTCTTGACTTGACTTTTTGCTGACCATGGGTGACCATGAGCCACGCCCACATCTTTGGGCCCTCACGTAGCATGGCCTCGATACTCTGTGGGAAAGCGCACCACCTTTTGTTCCTGAGCACCACCTTGAGTATGACCTGGCGATTCTTCCCGTTTGCCAATCCGGCTATGGCAGCGTCGCTCAGAAGCCCCGATTCCTTGAGCAGATCCATGGCATAGACATCAAGCGAATCCTGGGCGACGCTGGCCGCCACCTTTTCGCTGGGGTCGAGGCGCACGCCCGCGAGCTTGGCGCGCTTCAACAGCGAGAGGGCATCTTTCAGATCCGGGGTTAATTCGAAGAGCTTCTGGTATGCCTCCTCGGGTATGGGGTGCAGATCTAGCACCGCGTCAACTTTTGCCTCGTAGCCATAAACATGGTCATGCTGTGCCCAAATAGTGTAATCTTGTACACTGGTATGTCGGCGTTCTTCGCCTTTGCTTCGGCATGGACGAGGTGGAAGTCATCAGAAGTGTAATAGCAGACCAAACCCTCGTACACATTGTGACCAAGTGCCCTGCTCGGGTGCTCCTCCAGCATTTGCCGGAAGAGCATCTTCACAGCGTTGCACATTTCCAATGATTGACATGTAGTATGCAATCTCAAGGGGGAACTCGGACCTGAAGTCCCAAATAGCTAAAAGCTATTTGGGAGGACTTTCTGAAAGTCCCAGAAAGAGGAAGGACTTTCTTACCTGTAGGATGATGGGTGGGGAGTGAAGGGTGGCAATGTGACGATAACGAATGAGAATCTAGAGAGGGTAGTACGGGTGGTGGAGAAGAGTTTGCGTGAGCGTCGGCTCGTTGCATCTCTCGTCCAGCATGCACAAGGCCTCTGCTATGTGACCGTGATCCGCAAGCCTCCGGGCGAGCTGGCGATGGAACTTCTGGCCCGTAAGCTGGTGGAACTCACCAAAAGTGTGCAGTGGTGGCGCGGATGGCCTCGTCATTCTCATCATCGTGCTATTTACCAGCTCCTGGAAGAAATTGAAATCCAGTCTTAACGCGATCTTTGGTAGAACACATCGGCATTGGTGCAAACAGAGTTTGCTGCAACAAAAATCACAATCAACATCTGCCAAAACAAATCCAAAGAGACTGAATCTGCTGGATTGTGATTATTCCTTGCACCAGTCCATGCCAGACCACTTTCTTTGTGGACGCTTCTGAACCTTAGCTCGCGATCACCAGTAGAATCTGAGACGAGAATTTCAAAACCCTTAATGTCAAAATAGCAGATACGTTAAGAAGCTATTAATGTTTAGTTTCCTGTTGGCCGGATATCTGGCTAGAATAAAGTAGTTTATTGGCAAGGTCACAGGTTCGAAATCCACAGCCAGAAAACCGATTAAAATTTTTAGTTTTTCATCAAAATTCCATACTGATGGATTCGTTTTGCCCGCTTCCAGAGCACCAATCCAGCGGAATGTGGCATCGCCCTGCTGCTGCTCAAGCTTCTCCAACCAGCTCCAAAATGCAGTTAGTCGTGATAAGATTTCTCCGGATGAATTCTTGGGACACCCGGTGAGCCCAAAGCCTCGCAAGTCTGGAGCAACAGCGTGGAATCCAGCGTCCGCCAGCGCCTTGAGCTGGAACCTCCATGTATACCACGTCTCGGGGAAGCCATGGAGCAGCAGCACAGTCGGCCCTCCTGATCAAATCATTGTCGCAAAATCATCTCTCTCCTCCCAACTACCATCTCACCATGTCCCGCATCAAAACTTTCAGTGCTCAAGTGGCCCGAAATTCTTTAATCGACACTTCTTCACCAAACTGTGTCCTCTCTAGACCAGCCTCAACGCAACAACTCAAGCTTCACACACAACCCAAAAGTTGGCGGGTCCTGGCTTTGTAGTCGCCTTATGAGTTTTTCTTGGAGACTTGGAGAATAATTCCAGCTGCTTGCTGGGAACTAAAGAGGGCGCTGGCTTAGAGTTTGTGCTCTTTAACCCAGCAATTTGTTCATAGAGCCTCCATCACGGGTTTCAGAGTTTCTTGACGAGTTTGAGAGTTCTCTTCTTTCTTCAAGGAGGATTATTCACGGCTCCACAGCCAAGCTTCTGCACGAGATCATAGCAGCTCAAGATCAGCACAAACAAGCAATGTCAAGCTCTCTCGCTCGAGCTCTGGAAGAGTTACCTCGTCTGCGCTGCTCCGGCTCTCAAACTCTTGAATGTAAGTTGGAGAGCTCTTCGAACAGCACAGTGCCTGATTGCCCGACTTGGGCGATGCATTTGTCATCGAGATCTCGCCTTCCAGAGCCCGTGTCCAAGCCATACCATCCTCACTTCCTTCAAGCCATGAAGCTCGGGCGAGAGGTGAGAAAAGCATGGTTTCTAAGATCATGGCAAGATTGTAAGTTCTTCGAGTTCCTCCCAGGTTGCTTTGCTGCTCGACTGCACGTCCTGGTGTGGAGCTGGCCCAGGATTAATGGACGCTGCCACCAAAGGAGCTCTCGAGGCCGGGAAGCCGGTGGGAGTATTTAGAATCCACAACGAGGGCGGTGTGTGGACGAACACTTTGAGACATCCTTACATGGTCTCGGGAACTTATCTCACCTGCAGGGGAATACCATCCTTGCAATTAGATTCTTCTCGGCGCGAAAGCACGGCCTGGTTGATGCGGGAGTACGTAACGCTCCGTCCGATCGCACCGCGTTCCTGGCTTTGCCCGGCAGCGTTGGAAGCATGGACGAGATCTCGAGGTGCTGACTTTGATCCAGCTGCGGCGGATCGGCTCCAGCTTCCCAGTGCCGTTCCTGCTGATAAACTATGATGGATTCTACTATCACTTGCTGGAGTTCCTGGCTACGTGCAGAGAGTGGGGGACTGTGGGCGAGGGAGAAGTGAAGGCGCTGTGGAGAGTTTGCAGGAACAACTCCGAGGCGCTCGACTACCTGGCCGAGTTCTATAGAAAGTAAGCGCTTAGGTTTCTCCTGGAAAGTCGCACAAGGTTTTAAGACTTTTTTTCGCTAGATCTCTGACAAGAAAGACGAAAGATGTTTGATCGTGGGGTAAACTCTCCAAGTTTCTCTCGATTCAAGATATCTTTACACTGCGAGATCTACTCAGTGGCACTTGCACAAGAAAAACTCCTGGCAAACGCTCGTGTGCTGCTTCTTGTTCTTCTTCCTGAGGTTATACCTTTTGCAAGCTCTCGATTCTGTGAACTTGGTGCTCGCCTCCTCCTCCTCCAAGGCCTTCCTCTTCAAGCTTTCAGCGCTGGCCTCTTCCAGCAGCGCGTAATCGTCCTTGTCCAAGTCCTCCAAGTCCAAGGCCTTCCTCTTCAAGCTTTGAGCGGCGCCATCGAGTCGCTTGTTCTCGACGACGCTGGCTGGAGCTCCCACAAAATCCTTGCTCTTGCTGGGGAGCATGTTGGCCACCACGTCCATGAGCTTTTCCAAATCCTTGGCGCCGATGGGTAGCATCTCCGCCGAGTTTTGCAGCAGCGCGAGGACGTGCTCCACTGAAACGTAGCGATTCGCCATTTGATGATGAGGGTTACAGGAGTGCGACCCCTTTTTATACTGCTGCGTAAAAAGGTGTTTCCTTTTAACCGTAGGATAAAAAATTTTGCTTTAAAAAGTTAATAGGAATAATATGTAATCGTGTATATAATATCTCTTTACTTGGAATAGATCGCTAAGATTATAACATTTTGTGGTATAAAAACTGAAGGGTTCGTCTCACAAAATATTGTTCTTTACACTTAGCAACATGGCAACTTCTGCATTTCTTTTCTTTCTTTTCTTTGTTGTGTTTGCTATGTTTTCTGGTTTGAGGGTGTTTTCTCAGCAAATGAATTCATCTGTCCCAGCTTTATTTGCATTTGGGGATTCTCTAGTAGATGCGGGTGATAATGCTCATGTTGGTTATCCTTATGGTGTTGATTTTCCTGGAGGTCAAGCAAGTCGATTTTGTAATGGTCGTTTGCTTGTTGAATATATTGGTAAGTGTTTGCTGTTTTTATAGTTGAATGTTATTTTATAATTCTGTTTTTTAGCATTACATTTGGGATTACCATTACCACCAGCTTATTTCCAAGCTGGAAATAATATTCTTCAAGGTGCAAATTTTGGTTCTGCTGGTTCTGGAATCCTTTCACAAACTCATACGGTAAACATTATTAATTTTATTGATTTTGACTTTATAATTTTGTGATTTTAAAGGGAGGAGGACAAGCTCTTGCAAGTCAAATTGATGACTTTAGGAGTTTGAAACAAAAAATGGTTCAAATGATTGGATCATCTAATGCATCTACTCTTGTCGCAAAATCTATTTTTTATATTTGCTCAGGAAACAATGATATTAATAATATGTATCAAAGAACAAGGAGGATTTCACAATCTGATGAGCAAACCATTATTAATACTTTTGTTAATGAACTTCAGGTAAATATTATTATTAGTATTTTCAATTTTATTTTTGATTTTATAATTTTTATTTGATTTCAGACATTATATAATTTGGGTGCTAGAAAATTTGTTATAGTTGGATTAAGTGCTGTTGGATGCATTCCATTGAATGTGGTTGGAGGACAATGTGCATCTGTTGCACAGCAAGGAGCTCAAATATATAATAATATGTTACAATCAGCTCTTGAGAATTTAAGAAATTCTCATAAAGATGCTCAATTTGTGATGACTAATTTTTACGGATTAATGGTAGATGTTCACAACAATCCACAATCTTATGGTAAGCTTTAGTTTTAATTAACCAATCTAACATTTTATATTTTGGGAATAAACAGGATTCATTGATTCAACCAGTGCTTGTTGTCCACAAGGATCCCATACTTTGAATTGCAATTCTGGAGCTAGGCTTTGTCAAGATAGAACAAAGTATGCCTTTTGGGATGGTATTCACCAAACTGATGCATTTAATAGTATGGCTGCTCATCGATGGTGGACTGGTGCTACTTCAGGTGATGTTTCTCCCATCAGCATTAGTGAATTAGCATCATCATAATGAGATGCTTATGAAGTTACTTGGTTACTTTTGATATTGAAATAAATATTGAATTCTATTCTTATTTGAATCTAAGCTGAGAAGAATAACAATTGTCTCTATATCCTCCTGTTTCCTGAAGTATATAGTGAGGCTTTATTTGAAGAAAATTCTACAACAGGGCATTATAGAAAAATGACTAATCTGCGAGCTTTGTATACAACCACGAATCAAGCAATGCAATCAGACTATAAATTCTTGTTCATATTATCAATCCAACCAGACTTTTTAAACAACTTAGATCACTGCATATGCCCATATACCAGAATCTTGTTTGAAAAAGTCCTGTCAGGATAAAAGCTTTTGCTTTAGGAAAGCGCTACAGGAGAAGTTGGAGAAGCTTTTACTTCGCTTCTGGTGGCATTTGGAATCTTTGATCCAGCAGCGGCAAGCCCCACCCCAAGGAAGAGAATTCTGAGGTGACGCAAAGTGTGCATGTCATGTCACTGCTTTTACAACCAAGCGAGAGTGCTTGGGCTCAAAAAAAAAAGTTGATAATGTGATCTGCTGATCCTTCCTGAGTGATAGCAGCACAACATTGTGCTCCTGCCGCATCACGACTCCAGCTCCAACAGGATCGGAAAGGCGGATAAACCCCATCCAGCTCTTGAGCAGCCCAATCGAAGTGGAGAAAACGAACATCAGCTTTGCCATTCTCGCTGATGCCTCTGACCATCACATTATCATAATGCATGTCACCATGAACCCGTACACCTAAACGCATACCAGCAGAGTATACACCCATCACAGTCGCAGCTATAATCTGGAGATCTCCACATCTCTCCCGTTCTCTAGATCTCCAACGCTACTGTTGGCTCGTGGTGGTGGCCAGTCGGCCGGAGCGCATCTCTCGGGATATGGAGAAAAGCCTGGAGATGCCACGATAAGAATCTACGTTTGCAAACATTTGGAAATCGGAACTTACTGTATTCATCGTACACACTAGGAAAGTGTTGTCTGTAGCAAATATGTGCCATAGTCAGGCCTGTAGAATGAAATAGAATTAAGCACAAAATATAAAACCAAGTAGAATGATAGCACTAGCAAACATGTCTTGTTTGTTAGAGGTAGAGATGATGTGGCATGTAATTATGCCCACGTGGCAATAATTCCATGTATATGTTACAGTTGGATACACAGAAAGTTGCACATCCCTCTGCTGCTAACATGGTATTGGAGCAATTGACTCCTTGATCCTGGGCATGGCACTTACTGGGCAGGAGGCCAGTGATGGAGGAGGAGGATGAGCCTTTTAATTGCAATTCCTTTTGCAATGCTTGAAACTTTTGTGGGATGCACTAGATGCTTGATGCATTGCATCAACCAAGCCATGCAGAGGCATTAAGCAGCAAGCAGCAACAAGCAAAACACAAAAGTAGTGGGAGATTGAAAATTTTCAACAACCCATATCAAAGAATTAGAGGTCAAGATCCAAGAACTAATTGTTCCTGTTTGCTTCATTTCCTCTAAGTGGAAAGGATGTTTATAGAGATTCAAGTGCCTTAGAAGTGGGAATCTGGCAATTCACAACCAAGACTACATGCTAATGGCAAGATTGAAGCCATAGCAAAGAGCAAAAAGTGTGCAAACAAGTCCAAGACCAAAAACCAAGTTTTGGGTAGTTGATTGATGATTTTTTCATATGCTTTTTTCATCAACTCTCCATGCTCATCATCTCAAATTAGCTACGCACGATTCAAGCTTAGATTCAAGCTTTAATCAGTCACTTGATCACGAGTAGGAGTGTTAGAGGTAGAGATGATGTGGCATGTAGTTATGCCCACGTGCAGTAATTCTATGTACATGTCACAGTTGAATACATAGAAAGTTCTTCTTCCTCATGCACGTCTCTCCACTGTTAACATTGCCAATGGTGCTAATATCCATCAACACGTGATATGCCAACCAACGTTGCACCGAGCAATGGGATAACGACAATGATCAGCTTGGCAACACAACCCATTCAGCATGGGCACAGCGAAGCCATCAGACTCTGCCAGCGAATGGAGCCAGACGGAGTTGAGCCCGACGAGATCACCTACGTTACCTGTGACATGCAGTCTCTAGTGGAAGGAAGGCCCGTCCATGACAGGATAGTGAGAGCCGGCCTGGAGAACGGAGCGCTCGTCTCCACAGCACTCGTCAGCATGTATGGCAAGTGCGGGAGCCTGGACGAAGCACGGAAGATCTTCGACGGCTCCGACTTGAGCAACCTGGTCTCGTGGAACGCAATGATCGTGGCGTATGCTCAAAATGGGGAGGGGAAGCAGGGGCTGGAGCTGTACGAGCTCATGAACTTGGACGGCGTGGAGCCGAACGGCGTGACTTACACCGGAGTGCTGTTTGCGTGCGCACACGCGGGGCTGCTGGACGAGGCCTGGAAGCAGTTCGTGTCGCTCAAGACGGACAGGGGGATCGAGTGGGAGGACGAGCACTTCAGCTGCATGACGGATATGCTGGGCCGGCTGGGAAGGCTGGAGGAGGCCGAGGAGTTTCTCAAGAGGTTTCCACAGGCGGGTGGAGTTCCATGGCTGTCACTGCTCAACTCGTGCCAGATGCATGGGGATTTGGAGCGCGGGAAGCGGGTGTCGCAGGAGGCCATGAAGAGGAACCCGGAGACATCGTCGTCGTACGTGATGCTCTCCAACATCTACGCGGCACCAGAGGTTGCAAAGATGAAAAGCAGGCTCGGGTTTTGGTATTCCAGGCACTCCAAGTCGCAGGATATCACTTGAAAGGTACTTAAAGGTTTTCCTATTTTTCTAAAGGAAACTTTTTCGGCACATTCCAGGATGTACGACCCTTTTCCCCGGAGTATAAAAAGGATTGCGAGGTCATCAAAGGCCTCAAAGCATACATATGGCGAATCACAAGGATGGGTATGTTCCAGTGGAGCAAGTCTTGAGCGAGCTGCGACGATCGGCAGAGAGGCTACCCATCCGCACCAGGGATTTGATGGATCTCATGGATGTGGTGTCCAAGTTGCTCTACGAGTCGCTTCCAGGAGATTCTGGCAAGGAAACGAGAACAACAGGGGAGGAGATCCAGGGCAAGTCAAGTTTTCCTCTTGTGGAGGAACTGCCCAAGAAGAAAAGAGAAGCAGATGTGGGCGATGCGAAAAACTTGGAGGAGGAGGATTACAAGCTTTTGGATGGGATATCGAAGAAACCTCGGCTGACTAAAATAGTGCCCAAGAAGTATAATCTCAGGGCACACGAGCAGCACACTGCCACCCTTTGCTCTATGTACCAGTGCCACTGAGTGACAACATCCCGTAGAACAATCAATCACGGCAATGGTTATCCAACCAAAATCTTTAAATATTCTAATTGTAAAGCATGTAGTATCTAATAAAAATGTTAAACTATCTAAACAAATGTAGACAATGGTTTTGAATTTTAATGTAGTCATACTTGCAACTGTGAAGAGATAAATCACGCTTGGAGCTCAAACTTGCCTTTCTTCAACCTAAGCTTACATTTGTAACCCAAGCTCTTCATCATGGCCTGTTTCTTACGAATCCTCTTTACCATGGTTTCACTTTGCTGCATTTTTACCGCCTCTAGCAACACCATGGTAAACGTGCCCTCGTCACACCTCCCACTGAGGAGCTCCAGCGCAGTGGCCACGAGGCCCCGCCGCAGCAGCTGCTTGACCACCTCTTGACTTGACTTTTTGCTGACCATGACCCGCGAGAGCCACGCCCACACCTTTGGGCCCTCACATAGCATGGCCTCGATACTTTGTGGGAAAGCGCACCACCTTTTGTTCCTGAGCACCACCTTGAGTATGGCCTGGCGATTCTCCCTGTTTGCCAATCCGGCTATGGCAGCGTCGCTCAGAAGCCCCGATTCCTTGAGCAGATCCATGGCATAGACATCAAGCGAATCCTGGGCGACGCTGGCCGCCACCTTTTCGCTGGGGTCGAGGCGCACGCCCGCGAGCTTGGCGCGCTTCAACAGCGAGAGGGCATCTTTCAGATCCGGGGTTAATTCGAAGAGCTTCTGGTATGCCTCCTCGGGTATGGGGTGCAGATCTAGCACCGCGTCAACTTTTGCCTCGTAGCCGTAAACATGGTCATGCTGGAAGTGCCGAAGTAGCGTAATCTCATGCACCGGTATGTTGGCGTTCTTCGCCTTTGCTTCGGCGAGGACGAGGTGGAAGAAGCTGAAGTCATCGGAAGTGTAATAGCAGACCAAACCCTTATACACATTGCGACCAAGTGCCCTGCTCGGGTGCTCCTCCAGCATTTGCCGGAAGAGCATCTTCACAGCGTTGCACATCTCCAGCGATTGACATGTACTATATGACGCAATCTCAAGGGGGATCTCGAAGAGCCTGAAGTCCCGCGGGTAGCCCAGCGCTGTCATGGTGGCGACGTGACGATAACGAACGAGAATCGAGAGAGGGTAGTACGGGTGGTAGTGGAGGAGAGTCTGCGTGAACGTCGGCTCGTCGCATCTCTCGTCCAGCATGCTCAAGGCCTCCGCTATGTGGCCGTGATCCGCGAGCCTCCGGGCGAGCTGGCGATGGAACTTCTGGCCCGTAAGCTGGTGGAACTCACCAAAAGTGTGCAGTGGTGGCGCGCTCTGGATGATGGCGAGGATGGCCTCGTCGTCCGGGAACCAGTCCTTTTGGGCGACGTAGAGCCTGCCGAGGGCGACGCACAGGTCTTGGTCCAGTGGGACACTTTCCACCACCACCAGTAGCACGCTCGCAACACACTTGTCCATAGCCGATCGATCTGTGCAGCCCTAGAAGAATGCGCTCTTTAAAAAGCTTAAATCCACAACTTTAGTGCCCAAACGAAGCATTACAACAAACATAAAGTTAAAGAGGAAGGAAAACTTCAATGCTCCTTCTGAAGAACACAATCCAAAGAATGATCATGATAATCATCATGTGGAAGAAATTGAAATCCAGTCTTAATGCGATCTTGGATAGAACGCATCGGCAATGGTGCAAACAGAGTTTTCTGCAACAAAAATCACAGTCAGCATCCGCCAAAACAATTCCAAAGAGTCCGTCGGCTAGTTGCTCGCGATTATTCCTTGCACCAGCCGATGCCAGACCACTTTCTTTGCCATGGCTTTGGATTCTTCTGAAACTTAGCTCGTGATCATGTCCGAGAACAGCTTGAAGAATGTACCAGTAAGATCTTTCCATTGAGAAGAGAATGATTTCTTTCTTGTGTTTGACGAGCAGCAAAAAGGATGACTAGAGCTAGGAAGCTGGCCTGCGAAAATAGCAGATACGTTAAGAGGCTATTAATGTTTAATTTGGGTGGGAACATGAAGAAATATATTAGCAAGGTCACAGGTTCGAATCCAGAGCCAATTAAACTTTTTTGTTTTTCATAAATCACCGTCAATGCGAAAACATTGTCTTTCCGAGGTTTTCCACAAACTTGTTCTTCCCTATTCTATACTCAATGGAATAGCGATGGATTCGTTCGCCCTGCTGCTGCTCAAGCTCCTCCACCGCTTGGTCCAGCTCCAAAATGCAGTTAGTCGTGATAAGATACTTTCTCTTGGGCTCCCTCTATAGCCATGCCAATTCCTCCAAGCGCACAATGTCTCCCAGGAGACCCAGAGGCGAGAGCTTTAACTTGCCGGATGAATCCTTCGGACACTCGGTGAGCCCAAAGCCTCGCAACTCTGGAGCAACAGCGTGGAATCCAGCGTCCGCCAGCAGCTTGAGTTGGAACCTCCATGTATACCACGTCTCGGGGAAGCCATGGAACAGCAGCACAGTCGGCCCTCCTGATCAAATCAAATTCATCTCTCTCTCCGAATCACCATCTCACCATGTCCCGCATCAAAACTTTCAAGAAAGCACCAGGCTGTGATGTCCTTGAATTTCAACTAGAGGGATGAACTCCAGAAGGTCGTGGGAGCCAAGCAGCACTGGCAACATCCTCTCTCCTCGCTGCTGGCTTGGTCTGAAATTCTGTAATCGACACTTTCGTCTCCAAACCAGCGTCACCTACTGATCTCAACGCAACAACTCAAGCTTCACACACAACCCAAAAGTTGACGGGGCGAGACTTGGAGGATAGTTCCACAAACTCTATCATCTTTAGTGGCACTGGCCCCTACAAACTTATCCCAGCAAGCAGCTGGTCTTTAACCTAGCAATTTGTTTATAGAGCTTCAGTCAACCTCCATCACGGGCTTCTGGGTGAGCAATGCCAACAGCTTTCCACGCAGGAGCTTAACAAGTCACAGAAAGCATCCAGTTCTGGTATCTCCAAGAGGTTAGAGGCAGCAGTAAGGGCTAACGTTAGAGTCTTGCAGAAGTCTTTCAAAGCCATCCTTGTTCTCTCTTACTAGATAGGCGGGAATGGACGCCAGGATTGCAAATATGACAGGTTTTATGCATTCCATGTAGCAGGATCACTTAAACCTTTTTCTAAAGGGAAGGTTTTGGAAATTCCATGATTTATGACCCTTTTCTGCTCCAGGAATACAAAAGAGTTGACCTTCCACCATGGGTTGTATCTGTGAGGTATGGCGAATCAGAAGGATGGTTGCATTCCAGTAGCACAAGTTTTAAATGAGTTGCGGGACTTCATAGATCTCATGGACTTGGTCTCCAAAGTCATCGATTGTGAGCCGCCTCCAAAATTTACTAGTACAGCAACCATGGAAGAAACCAGTCACAAAGTTCATGAGAAGAGAGAAATGGACATGAGCAATGGTAAAAGCTTGAAGAGAAAGCATCAGTACTTAAATGAGGAAGAAGAGAGAGTTCATCCCAAAAAATACAATCTCAAGAATCCTCTTAAAAGCTACAACTTCTATTTACTGGAGACCACTTCGACTGGGTGAGAAGTCAACCATAGCAAAAGAAAAACCATAAAAGAAAAAAAGAAAAAGAAAAAAAAACCAGCCACAAGAAAAGGACGAATCAGAAAAGGACGAAGAAAACAAACCATGTGAAATCATGGTGGGGAGGAAATAAGAATAAAGACTATGTAGCATTGAGATGATTGTAGCAGTGATAAGTATAAGAAAAATGTCGGACTTTGTCCATACTGTCAAGTGTACAGAGCAGCAGCAGACATTAGTGTAGAGAGTCTTGTTGTTGGATCTTCTCGTCGCTTCCATAGATCACGCAACTCCGCCGCTAGTTAGATCGCAGCAGCGGCTGCGGCGGCGGCGGCAGCAGCAGCAGCAGCAGCGTCGGCATTGTCCGATCCCAGCCCGTAGAGCACTCCCGTGAACTTGGCCATGGATTCCAGGAAGTACCTGTCCTTGAGCCGGCGGTAGACCTCGGACGTGAGCAGGCTGTCCGACCCCGCCTGGTGGCACGGCCCGATGCGCGCAACGTCGACCAGCTCCGCCAGCCGGTTGAGGCCGCCGTGGAGGCTGTCATGGAACTTCATCATGTACTTGATGTCGAAGAAGACCGGGAAGTAGAGGCGCATGAGGTTGAAGAAGTCGGCCTCGCACGCCGGCAGTGGCTGGCAAGTGAGCAGCTTGAGGAGGTAGCCGAAGTCGTAGCCGCTGTGGAAGGTGATCCACTGGATGTCGTCGTTGAGCACCACCCCCGAGGACATGAGCAGCTCCCCAAACAGCCTCGAGTCCACGCCCTGCTCCTCGTTCTTGGCAAAGTCGATGCCGCTGTGGCACAGGAGGTCGATCGAGTCCTGGGCGCAAACGTCCTCCCGGATGTTGAACTCGCGGAAGTTGAATTGCCACACGCAGTACTCGCCGGTGTTGCAGCGCGGGAGGTTGCCGTCCGCGTCGCAGAAGGTGAGGCCCAGCTGGATGAGCTTGAGCATGTTGACGTTCTCGCGGAGGGTCTGGTAGTTATACTCTGCGCAGCTCCGGAAGTTACCCACCGGCCTCACCACCACGCCCGGGAACTCCGTGTCCATGGCCAGCAGCGGGAACTCATCCACGATGCTCCGGATGAACGAAATCTCCTCCTCCAGGTTGCTCGCCCACACGTCCCTGATGCGGAGAGACCCACCCTTTGGAAATTTTGACATCTATCTCCCCCTTGTGTGTGTGTGTGTGCTGCCACAAATTCTATCTCTATCTCTATCTCCTCTATCTCTCCCGGCGATTCCAGATGGGTCGCTTTAGCTTGGAGCGCCAAGAACCACGCCCTCTCCTGTAGCCTCTGCTCACGCGATCTAAGCCTTCTAAAGCCCGTGGCCAGCTATCCAACATGAGACCACGCACGAACCCTAACCCGCGGGGAGAAATCGGCCAGAGGGGGCTTACCGCCGGCCCCGGAGGAATCACGCGCGCGCGCCGCCGCCCTGGATCTCTCACGGCCTCGCTCGATCGATTCCCAGGACCCTCTTTCCTCCCTCGCCCTCTCCTCTCCCAACGCGCCCAGACGAAACCCTCGCCCGCACGCCCTGATACTTATTCTCGCCACTGAGAAATCAGTTAACCAGTTTGAGGAGCCCATTTGGAGTCCGGCCCGCGGCCGTCGGATACGCGCATCCGGCGGCTGGAGGGGCCCCACGTGGCAACAGCCCGATTTGATAGACGCGCTGGCGTCCGGCACGAGAAATTCCAGTGGATTGGAGAGCGGCCCTCGCGTCCACGCGTGACAGCCTGGTGCCCTGCCCGGGATCGTACCCGGGATGTCTTTCTGCGATTTGCCGGCCCTTGGGCCACCCATGACCAAAAGCCACACCTCCTCCTCTGTTTGTCCGTACACATTTCTTTGTGATTTCCAACCCGCGGCTTCCAACCATGCACCGCCCACGCACAAATTATATATAGTGTAGACAAAACAAACGTGATTGTTGGTCCAAGATGCGCTGACTTTCTTTGACCAGCCGGCGGCGTTGACTAAAGGATATTCCGGCAGCGGTTCCGGATTCTCTTAGTCAAAGCTCATTGACAGCAGTTGGTCGCTACGAGTATTCGTCTGACTTTTGTTGACTGGCCGGTGGCGTTGACTAACATATTCTGTCAATATTTTGGGGAATATTCGGCCGTCACTTATGCGAAGGCTCGCCTCCCGCAGCTCGCCCCTCCAGCGCAAATCCATCGGCGCCTTGCAGGACGCGGAGCAGGAGATCCTCTTTGGCGGGAGCTACTCGCGCAAGGGCAGCGTCGACGAGCGCGAGCGCCCCAAAAAATGGAGCAAGCCACCATCGCCCATGGCCAGCGCCAGCGCCATCGCAGAGAGCTCATCCAGCTCTGGCCTCCAGGCGTGGCTGGAGGAGCTCAAGAGCAGCGACGCCTCGATCGCCCAAATGGCCGCCGTGTTGCGCAGGTGTGTAGCTGAGAGGGATCTGGGCAGCGGGATCGGGGCGCACCGATTGATCCAGCAGCTGGGACTGGGCAGCAACGTCTTCCTCGCCAATCTCCTCATCCACATGTATGGCAAGCTGGGCGCGCTGGAATCCGGCCGCGCCCTCTTCGACGCCATGCCCGAGCGCAACAAGTTCACCTGGAGCATCGTGCTGGCAGCGCACGCCCAGAACGGGCGCAACCGCGCGGCGCTGGATCTCTACGAGCAGATGTCCGCCACCGGCGTGGAGATCGACGACGTGCTCGTGGCCACCGTGATCGGCATTTGTGCCAACCTCGGGGATCTTGCCGCCGGGCGGAAGATCCACGCGAGGGTGGCGACTTCCAGTGTGATCGTCCACACCGCGCTGATCAACATGTATGGAAAATGCAAAGAACCCGAGGAGGCCAGAGAGATCTTTGACAAGATGCCCGATCGAGACGTGGTGGCCTGGAACGCCATGCTCGCAGCAAATGCCCAGAACGGGCATTTGTACGCTCGCCGGGCCTTGGATCTCTTCCGCGAGATGGAGCGGCGGGGCATCCGCCCGGACGCCTTCACGTACTCGTCAGTGGCGGCGGCGTGCGCGGCCATCGGTCCAGCGGCGATCGACGCCGGGCGCGCGCTCCACCTCCAGATCCTCAAGAGCGGCTTCCACAGCGACGTAGCGCTGGACAACACGCTGCTCAACATGTACGCTCGCTGTGGATCCATTGTCGAGGCCCGGAAGCTCTTCGATGGGATGCGTCGCAGGAGCGTCATCAGCTGGAGCACCATGGTGGCGGCGTACGCGCACGGCGGCCACCATCTCCAAGCTCTCGATCTCTACAAGGCGATGGAGTCATCCTCCCCGGCGGTGAAGCCCAACTGCATCACGCACGCCAACGCGCTCTCGGCGTGTGCCGCGCTGGGGGATCTGGCGGAAGGGCGGCGGATCCACGCCAGGGTGGTGGCGGAGGAGTGGAGCGGCGCCGCCGTGGTGTGCTCGGCGCTCATCCACATGTACGCGAAGTGTAGCTGCCTGGACGACGCGAGGAGAGTTTTCGACGAGCTCCGGCACAGGGACTTGGTGTGCTGGAACTCGATGGTGGCGGCGTATGCGCAGCTCGGGCATCTGGGCAGTGCCGTGGCGGTGTACCGCGAGATGGTGCTGGACGGGACGGACCCCAGCAGCATCACGCTCATCGGGCTCGTCATCGGTGCCAGCCACGCCGGGCGAGTGGAGGATGGTCGCGGCTACTTCGTGGAGTTTGTGGATCACCACCGCGAGGTGGAGCTGCTGTGGGAGCACTATATGTGCCTGGTGGACCTGCTGGGACGCTGCGGCTGGCTCCAGGACGCCGAGGAGCTCGTGGAGACGATGCCGTTCGAGCCGTGCGTCACGGGCTGGATGACGCTGCTGAGCGGGTGCCGGATACATGGCGACGTAGAGCGGGCGGAGCACGCCGCGGAGATGGTGGGCGAGCTCGAGCCGGGCGGTGAAGGTGCGCAGTCCATCCTCATGCTTGGAGCTCTCGCGGAGAAGGAGTGGGACGTGATGAGCTTGATCAAGCGCCACCTCGGGTGAGGTGGTGAGTTTGAGAGTTCGAGGAGGATTATTTTAAAGCTTCGTTTTGTGGCATCGAGAAATCAGTCGCTTAGCTGCTGGGATGGACGCCATGGCTGCTACTGCTGCTGCTACTGCTGCTGCTCTGGGAGGCGAGATCTCGATGACCAACAAGACGAGGAGGAGAGAAATCTTCGCTGCTCGGCCATCAAATGCATCGCCCAAGTCGGGCAATCAGTCACTGTGCTGTTCGAAGAGCTCTCCAACTTACATTCAAGAGTTTGAGAGCCGGAGCAGCGCAGACGAGGTAACTCTTCCAGAACTCGAGCGAGAGAGCTTGACATTGCTTGTTTGTGCTGTTCCAGGTGAGAAGGGAGATCTTGAGCTGCTATGATCTCGTGCAGAAGCTTGGCCGTGGAGCCGTGTACCTGGGATCAGCGAGAACCAAGCCAGACCATCCTCACTTCCTTCAAGCCATGGAGCTCGGGCGAGAGGTGCTTTTAGATCATGGCAAGTTTCTAAGTTCTTCGAGTTCCTCCCAGGTTGCTTTGCTGCTCGGCTGCACGTCCTGGTGTGGAGCTGGCCCAGGATTAATGGACGCTGCCACCAAAGGAGCTCTCGAGGCCGGGAAGCCGGTGGGAGGATTTAGAATCCACAACGAGGGCGGTGTGTGGACGAACACTTTGAGCCATCCTTACATGGTCTCGGGAACTTATCTCACCTGCAGGTAAACAAGCTCTCTCTTGGTTTTTCTAGAAACTAAGAATACCATCCTTGCAATTAGATTCTTCTCGGCGCGAAAGCACGGCCTCGTTGATGCGGGAGTACGTAACGCTCCGTCCGATCGCACCGCGTTCCTGGCTTTGCCCGGGGGCGTTGGAAGCTTGGACGAGATCTTCGAGGTGCTGACTTTGATCCAGCTGCGGCGGATCGGCTCCAGCTTCCCAGTGCCGTTCCTGCTGATAAACTACGATGGATTCTACGATCACTTGCTGGAGTTCCTGGCTACGTGCAGAGAGTGGGGGACTGTGGCCGAGGGAGAAGTGGAGGCGCTGTGGAGAGTTTGCAGGAACAACTCCGAGGCGCTCGACTACCTGGCCGAGTTCTACAGCATCAGTGACAGAAGGTAAGCGCTTAGATTTCTCCTGGAAAGTCGCACAAGGTTCTAAGACTTTGTTTCGCTAGATCTTCCATGAGATCATTTGAGAACTCATTGCAAAGCTGACAAGAAACACGAAAGATGTTTGATCATCCAAAGTTGGAAGAACATGTGGGGTAAACTCTCCAAGTTTGTCTCGATTCAAGATATCTTTACACTGCGAGATCTACTCAGTGGCACTTGCACAAGAAAAACTCCTGGCAAAGGCTCGTGTGCTGCTTCTTGTTCTTCTTCCTGAGGTTATACCTTTTGCAAGCTCTCGATTCCGTGAACTTGGCGCTCGCCTCCTCCTCCAAGGCCTTCCTCTTCAAGCTTTCAGCGCTGAGCAGCGCGTAATCGTCCTTGTCCAAGCCCTCCAAGTCCAAGGCCTTTCTCTTCAAGCTTTGAGCGCCGCCATCGCCCACGAGTCGCTTGTCCTCGACGACGCTGGCTGGAGCTCCCACTAAATCCTTGCTCTTGCTGGGGAGCATGTTGGCCACCACGTCCATGAGCTTTTCCAAATCCTTGGCGCCGATGGGTAGCATCTCCGCCGAGTTTTGCAGCAGCGCGAGGACGTGCTCCACTGAAACGTAGCGATTCGCCATTTGATGATGAGGGTTACAGGAGTGCGACCCTTTTTTATACTTCTGCGTAAAAAGGTGTTTTTTTTAACCGTAGGATAAAAACTTTTGCTCGTCATACCAGCAGAACAAATTTACAAAGGGCCTACTTTGTTAATAATATGTAATCGTGTATATAATATCTCTTTACTTGGAATAGATCGCTAAGATTATAACATTTTGTGGTATAAAAGCTGAAGGGTTCGTCTCACAAAATATTGTTCTTTACACTTAGCAACATGGCAACTTCTGCATTTCTTTTCTTTCTTTTCTTTGTTGTGTTTGCTATGTTTTCTGGTTTGAGGGTGTTTTCTCAGCAAATGAATTCATCTGTCCCAGCTTTATTTGCATTTGGGGATTCTCTAGTAGATGCGGGTGATAATGCTCATGTTGGTTATCCTTATGGTATTGATTTTCCTGGAGGTCAAGCAAGTCGATTTTGTAATGGTCGTTTGCTTGTTGAATATATTGGTAAGTGTTTGCTGTTTTTATAATTGAATGTTATTTTATAATTCTGTTTTATAGCATTACATTTGGGATTACCATTACCACCAGCTTATTTCCAAGCTGGAAATAATATTCTTCAAGGTGCAAATTTTGGTTCTGCTGGTTCTGGAATCCTTTCACAAACTCATACGGTAAACATTATTAATTTTGTTGATTTAAATTTTATAATTTTGTGATTTTAAAGGGAGGAGGACAAGCTCTTGCAAGTCAAATTGATGACTTTAGGAGTTTGAAACAAAAAATGGTTCAAATGATTGGATCATCTAATGCATCTACTCTTGTTGCAAAATCTATTTTTTATATTTGCTCAGGAAACAATGATATTAATAATATGTATCAAAGAACAAGGAGGATTTCACAATCTGATGAGCAAACCATTATTAATACTTTTGTTAATGAACTCCAGGTAAATATGATTATTATTATTTTCAATTTTATTTTTGATTTTATGATTTTTATTTGATTTCAGACATTATATAATTTGGGTGCTAGAAAATTTGTTATAGTTGGATTAAGTGCTGTTGGATGCATTCCATTGAATGTGGTTGGAGGACAATGTGCATCTGTTGCACAGCAAGGAGCTCAAATATATAATAATATGTTACAATCAGCTCTTGAGAATTTAAGAAATTCTCATAAAGATGCTCAATTTGTGATGACCAATTTTTATGGATTAATGGTAGATGTTCACAACAATCCACAATCTTATGGTGAGTTTTATTTTAATTAACCAATCTAATATTATTTATATTTTGGGAATAAACAGGATTCATTGATTCAACCAGTGCTTGTTGTCCACAAGGATCCCATACTTTGAATTGCAATTCTGGAGCTAGGCTTTGTCAGGATAGAACAAAGTATGCCTTTTGGGATGGTATTCACCAAACCGATGCATTTAATAGTATGGCTGCTGATCGATGGTGGACTGGTGCTACTTCAGGTGATGTTTCTCCCATCAGCATTAGTGAATTAGCATCATCGTGATAAGATGCTTCTGAAGTTACTTGGTCACTTTTTATATTGAAATAAATACTGAATTCTATTCTTGTTCAAACCTAAGCTGAAAAGAAAATAACAATTGTCTGAAGTGAATAGTGAGGCTTTATTTGAAGAAAATGCTACAACAGGGCATTATAGGGAATCAAAATGAATCTATGTAAAAACGACTACACGGGTTCCAATTGCCTAAGCTGCAAGATTTGTATACAACCACCAATCAAGCAATGCAATCAGACTACAAATTCTTGTTCATATTATCAATCCAACCAGACTATCTAGTCACAGACAACTTTGATCATTGCATATGCCCATAGACCACAATCTTGTTTGAGAAAGTCCTGCGAGGATAAAAACTTTTGCTTTAGGAAAGCGCTACAGGAAAAGTTGGAGAAGCCCTTACTTCGCTTCCGGTGGCGTTTGGAATCTTTGATCCAGCGGCGGCGAGCCCCACCCCGAGGAAGAGGAATTCTTGAGGAAGACTCGTCCAACAAGCAGGGTCTGAGGTGACACAAAGTGCGTATGTCATGTCACTGCTTTACAACCGAGCGAGAGTGCTTGGGCTCAAAAAAAAAAAAAAAAAGTTGATAATTTAAACGCATACCAGCAGAGTATACACCCATCACAGTCGCAGCTATAATCTGGAGATCTCCACATCTCTCCCGTTCTCTAGATCTCTAACGCTACCGTTAGCTCGTGGTGGTGGCCAGTCGGCCGGAGCGCGTCTCTCGGGATATGGAGAAAAGCCTGGAGATGCCACGATAAGAATCTACGTTTGCAAACACTCGGAAATCGAAACTTACTGTATTCATCGTACACACTAGGAAAGTGTTGTCTGTAGCAAATATGTGCCATAGTCAGGCCTGTAGAATGCAACAGAATCAAGCACAAAAAGAAAAGAAAAAAAACCAAGTAGAACACAGTGTACCTATGATAGCCCCGGCAAACACGTCTTGCCAATGGTGCCAATAGTCATCGACGCGTGATATGCCAACCAACGTTGCACCGAGCAACGGGACGACGACAATGATCAGCTTGGCAACACGACCCTGGCGATCGAACGCACATATCTTTCCCGCGAGATAGAGGGAAAGATACCCCAACCCTGCAAAAGACCCTGTAGAAAGGATTAATAAGCACGCAAGGCGATCGCAAGACAAAGATGCCTTACATGATGTGTGGCCACTTGGAAAACTTTTGTAGCCTTCACGTATGTCGGCTTTGTCACCAGTGCACATAACTTCCCGAGTTTTCGTCGTGTATAACTGTGGAGCACTTCACGAGTAAGATCCACGTTTGGTTGTCTAGCAGGACTTACCGGTATGCCATCTGGAAAACACCGCCAGAAGAAATCAGGCCTTGGACGTCCAACTGCGTCTTTGATCGCATCAGTAAGAACAGCAGTAATAAGCACCGCGAAAAGCAAGCCTGTAGTAAAAAAACAAGAACAACATAGTTTACTTAGTCCGAGCTCTTCTCTTGGTTCGAGAGAGAGATGAAAGAAAAATAAGCTTACCGAGAAAGCCGTAGTGCAAATCCCGCAAGTCTCTATTCCGGATGTAGTACCCAATGATAAAGATCAACGGAATGACGAGAGCTATGACCTGTGAAGCAAAGAATCTTTCAGAAGACCTAGTCTCTAAGGAGACACGCGAGCTTACCGGAACAGCGGCAACGGGGATAGTGTTGTTATTGAAAGGGAACTTATAGTCGTCGATCATCGGCTCGCCAATGTATCTCTTGAAGGGATGGATGACAAGCAGCAGCGCCTCCATGCCCAGAAGAAAAATTATCGCGAGCCAGTCGTGTAGATGGAATCTAAACAGAGGGAAGCAAACAGCCCTGATCTGGCCAGCCATGGCGCTTGAATGTCCCACCCCACCACAAATCTCTCTAAACCTCTTGAAAATCTGCTACGCTTCCAACGCCAGAGATCAAGAACCAGAGGCTGCTAGAGAATCCCGCCAAACCTGTTAGAACCCCAGTCCGATCCCTGCTCGGGGCTCAAGAACAAGCTGCCGCTGATGGATGGCGCTGGGAACGGACGAAATGTGGCATCCCTGCCGCATCGCCGCGCGAGATTTGCCGATATTTCACTGGAAAATGTAGCCACGAGGAGAGATCCACCGCGTAGCCGGCGGCAATCGACGCGCGCTCGCGCTTGACCCAATCGAAACCCGCGTCGAGCAAGGGCTTCGTTTTCTAATGGAGCTTCAGTCCATGCCGGTGCCTAGATAACACCTCCACTGCCACGTGGCAAGAATCTTATAGAACATTCCTGTAATTTGAGGGAGTTGGAGGTTTTATTATTTCATATTTTACACTTTTGGAAGAAGGAATGCGATAGCAGTGCCGCAGCGCTAGGTCTTCGTCTCGGGTCTCTGGTCAGGCAGAGGTTGATGAAACTCACGGCCTCGGTGCTCATCTTGGGAGGAATCGGTGGGGAGCAGCCGTCTCTCATTCTCTCGTAGAATGGCATCATCTGCGATCCAAAGTTCCAGCTTAAAGTTAGTCCCAAGATTTCACTACGCTAAATCTCTAGTTCCCAAGGAACTCAGAGCTAAAGAGATGAAAAGTCTATGTCCGGGATCGAGAAGAAAAGAGGAAAGAACGAAGTGAAAGTGAGAGATCTTACCCCGAAACCGCTCCACGGCGGCTTTCCACACGCCATTTCGATCACTGTGCATCCCAAGCTCCACACGTCCGCGGCGAGACCGTAGGTTCCTTCTGTCAAGAGAACCTGCGATTTGGACCACATCAGTGTCAAACAGTTTTAATTCAAGAGAACCTCTGGAGCCATGTAAACAAAAGTTCCCTTGCACGACTTTGCAACCGAATAATCAATCTGGTGTCATCTGTGCTGTAAGAACAAAAAGAGCCAACTTGAGATAAGTTGTTTACCTTCTTTGCAAGACCAAAATCTGCGAGCTTGGCTTTCCCGTTGGGGTCCAGTAAAATATTTCCACACTTGACATCCCTGCTTGTCCAGAGAAAACGTCAATCAGATCGCCATCGAGCTTCTTAGCTTTTTTACCTGTGAACGATGTTCATGCGATGGAGATACTCCAGTCCACTGAGAATTTGTCGCGTGTAAACACGAAGTTTACTTTCGTCCAGTCCATTCGACTCCTTTATCACCGATGCGAGCGAGCACTTCATGAGTTCTAGCAGAATGCCAGCTCTGCCGTCTCCCTGTCAGGCGCGTCTCACGTCAAAACTGGAGAAGAACTCCATAAATGTTATGGAGTCTACCGTAAAACTTACCAGTGTCGTGGTCCCGATGTACTTGACAATGTGCTCGTGATCAAGCCGACTTAGAACAGAAACTTCCTGCATTGATTGAGAGCTCAAGTGGAGTGTGCTTTTCCACTCTCCCAGCTATGTAAGCTCACCTTTGGTGATAACCTTTCGTCGTCATGGAGAACCTTCACTGCGACTTGTTGGCCCGTTTGTCTGATAGATCCAAGAGAGAGCGAGAAAAGAAGCGTCAGTCAGTCTCACGAGGAAAGAGAAGGAAAGCTCACGTGTTTTCTCCTCTGTAGACGACCGAGTAAGAACCACAGCCGAGCTTCTCGCAGAGGACGACTTTCGGTCGAGGTGAGGGACAGTAAGCCGGATATGGAGACTGATGCGTCATGTTCATCCGAGGAGACATGTAGGGAGACTGGGGCTCCGAGAATCCGAAAGTCACCGATGGCCTGGCTGGTTGAGTGAAAGAACGCCTCGGAGGATCTTGGTACGCCCTTGCAAAAATCCCTTCCTCGTCAGAACGCCTCGGAGGATCTTGGTACGCCCTTGCAAAAATCCCTTCCTCGTCAGAGCCAGCAGTACCAACTGGAGAGTAAAGGTGGTTCGTGAAGACGTTCCTGGGAGTCCCTGGATACCCCCTGGAATGATGGAACTGCTGCCGCTGGTTCGAAGGATATAGAGGAAGTGGCCGAGGACACAAAAGCGATTGGAGATGGCTGCCACGGACTCTTTCTCGGCTGTGATGTTGGTAAGAAGAAGGCGAAGATGACTGACCCGAGTAGACGCTCGAGGGTGACAATGGCGGCGTTCTCTCGTACTGAAGAACACTCGACAAGTCACTCCTTGTATAGCTGCTGCTAGTAGTGGCACTGGAGAAACCTTCTTGACGCTGGAAAGCTGGCCTGGAAAATCGAGGAGGAGTAGTTCCACCGCTTCTGACTGGAGCTCTAGGCCTGAAGGCAGCATGGAGCGGGCTTCTCCGCTCTAGCCGATCAAACTCGGAGCTCTCATCGGTTGTGTCCATATCATCGTCTCTAACGCGCTGCTGCGCCAAGAAAGCTCTGATTTGCCGCCGTTCTTCGTGATTCTCAGCTCCAAGGATCCCTATAAGCTTCTCCTCGCCTCGCTTGCCAAGCCTTCTGCGAGCCCGGCGACTCAGCTCTTCCCCGGAATTCCCATCTACTGGCAATGGCGACACCACAGCCGACCCGTTGCACTGGCCGTGCTTGAAGATCCATTTCGCGATCTTCGTAGGCAGCCGATGATCTTCCATCGCGCGCTGCCGATTCCACTGGCCAAGATCTGGCTGAGATTCCTGGCCAAGATCCGCCTGAGATTCCTGGCCAAGATCTGCGCGCCGTCACTCGGCCATTGCGAAATCCCGGCTCGCGCACGGCAAATCCATCACTCTATCCCAATGCCGTATCGAAATCGCTGCCACAAACCTAGAAGCGCGGAGCTAGGATCTCGCTATCTCCCCTACACGGCCGCCCTGGATCACGGGGCAAAGGTCTAAAGCCCTAGGACGCTTGGCGCCAAAAGTGGTCATGGAGTCCACACGAAATCGCACGGTATAGTCACACGTCCCATTACGTACAACTTTTGACAATATACACGGGGAGAAAAGAAAAACGCTTCTTCTCAGTCGCTATCTTCACCAAAGACGGATGGAACTTTGGCGAAGACTTTGAGCTTTTTCGCTGCAGCGCCATCCGGTAGAACCTTCAAAGAGAGGAGACTTTGTCTCGCTAAAGAGAAAAAAAAAATTTTGAGAAGAAGAAACGCATACCTTTGTCGAGATTGCTCTGGATGAGAATCCAAACTTCACTGTTCCAGGCACTGGTGCTGCCGCTGCTGTAGAGATTGCTGTAGAGACTGCTGTAGAGTCTGGAGGGGGAGCGTCGATGACTTTCGCAGCGTCGGATTGTTGCTCTTGCTGCTGGCGTTGAGCCTCGGCTCTGGAAAAAGAGAGACGCGTCAATCATAAAGCTCTCGAGGACCACCACAATCAAGGGGGGAGAACACTCACTGTCGCTTCGCCATCTCCTTGTCAAGCCTGAGCTGTTCACGCTTCTGGCGATCGTCGCGGTCCCGGCTAGAGTGTAGGTCCCTCATCTCTTTAAATCGCTGCGAGTGATCAAACGCCACACCGCTAGTTAGATGGCACGGAATCCAAGACAAACGAAGAACCAAGGCTTGCCTTTCGATGATTGTGATCGTAGGAGCTGAGATGCGTCTCAAACTCCACTGCGAACTTGTACTGCTTGTTGCAAAGCTCGCAGAAAAACACCTTGCGGATCTCCTTGACTTCGCTCTGGATCTTGAGCTCGCGCTCTGCCTCCACCTAAACGTTTTCAGCATGGCCACGGAGCCGAGAGGCCACCATGGTAATAAAGCTCGAACCAGTAACGCCCAGACCTCATTCCTCATTCCTTTCCACAAAAAAAAATCCCCCCCATGCACTTTACTTTCAAAAGGCATCCTCCAAAAACAAAGCAAACAGCTAGAGCTACGGACACTCAATCGGGACCGAGAAACTAACAAAGTGAACGAAAAGCAAAGAGAGTTTTTGGCATACCTCGCGTTTCTTCGCAGTCTCTTCATCGTTTTCCGATGTTTCCGACTCCATCTTCTTCCGATGGATGCTCGCCTCGGCCGTGTAGAAATCATCCTCCTCTTGCTTCCCAACTCCAAGCTTTGGATCTCGGCTGTCAGCTCGGATTGGCTCCACTATCCCTGTTTGAAGAAGCGCAAGAAAATCTAGTCTGGAAGAAAGAAGAGGAATACAAGTACCTTGTTCGTCTTTCCCAAGCCCCTTTCCCTTCCATCCCATTTTTTGCAAGAGCCGAAACCCGACATTCGAATCGGAGATCTGCGTGTTCACCGACGCTTGCTCGATTTCCTCGCTCTCCCCGCCCCTGCCGGCCGCATTCTCTCCAGGCAAGCTCAGCTCCTCGCCAAGATCATCCGCCACGGATTCCGCATACGCCTGGAGCACACCACAGTCTCAATCACAACCAGAAACGAGCTAAAACGCCTACCTGTTCTCGCTCCAGGAGCCTCCGCTGCGCAATCTGCGCGTGATCATAGATTCGCAGATTCATCGCGGTCGATCCAGAGCTAGAAGAAGCGACACACCTCCGCTTAGATCCGATCCATCAAATTAGGGCTCTTCACATAAACCCTAGAGAATATTCTCCGGTCACGTGGTATATTTAAATCTTCGTCTAACTGTGAAAGCTTTGTTCTTCTCGCGAGCGTTGGAATGCCAGAGTTCTTAGCGATCGATCGGCAATGTAGCCCCTCTCTCCCATCTCCCGGTAGAGCCTGTGAGCCTCGTCCATCCTGTTTGCTCCAAACAAGCCCCGGATCAAAGCGTTGTAAGTGACGTTGTCCGGGACGCAGCCTCGCTCCACGGATTGCTGGAAGAACTCGTGCGCCTCGTTGATCTTGCCCACCTTGCACAGCCCATCGATGAAAGTACTGTAGATCATCGTGTTTGGCGAGAATCCCTTCTCCTCCATCACCCGGAAGAGCTGCAGCGCCTTGTCCACCTCGTTGGCCTTGAAGAAGCCCATGATGAGCGCGTTGTAAGTCTGGAGCGTTGGAATGCACCCCTTGTCCACCATCCCTGCCGTGACTTCGAGCGCTTCCTCCACCTTGGAAGCCCGGCAAAGACCCTCGATGAGGACGTTGTAGATCCCGGCGTCGAGCAGGGCTTTCTCGCCCTCTAGAACTTCCTTGAACAGAACTTTGGCCTCGGTGATCCTCCCGGCCATGCAGCAGCCATAGATGAGAGACGCGTAAGTGTTCTCGTCCGGGACATGGCCGCGAGATCGCATTGACGAGTGGATGTCGTAGGCGAGGTAAGATCTTCCACCATTGCAAAGGCAGCGCAGGAGCAGACCATACGTGCTGGCGCTTGGACCGTAGCCTCGTTGGATCATCTCCACGAACAATCTGTAAGCTCCGTCCAGTTTTCTCGTCCGGCAGTGCGCGGCCAGGAGCGAAGTGTAGACGTCCAAGTTTGGGACGATTTCCTTCTCCACCATGATGTCGAACACCTTCATCGCATCGTCGGCCCGGTTGTGCTTGCAGAGGACGCTGATGAGCGCCGTGTAAGTCATCCCGTCGGGGACGCTCTTCTTTATCATCTCTCCCACAACCTCGGAGGCCTCGCGAGTTTTTCCGGTCTTGATGAGGCAGTCGAGCATCGTCTTGTAAGCCAGGACGTGAGGGAGGGAGCCATCGCCGACGGCTATGTCCGAGAACTTGAATCCTCCATCGAAGTCTCCCGAGCACATGAGAGCCTTGAGGATGGCGTTGTAGGCCAGCATCCCCACGGCAACACCATTGCTCTCGAGCTCCTGGAAGAGCTCGCAAACTTCGCCAACTCTCTTCATCTCGCAAAACTTGTCCACCAAGAGCCCGCAAGTCACCACGTCTGGATCGTAGCCTTCGCCCACCATCGTGCTCAGCATCGCCCGAGCTTGATCCACGCTGCTCAGCTTGGTCAACCCTCTCACCAAGAGATTGTAGCTATCCCGGTCTGGAACAACACCATCTTCTAGCATCTGCGAGTAGATCTTCTCGAGAGCCACGCTCTTGCTCACCACCATCGAAGCCAGCATCGAGTTGTAGTTGTAGAGGCTGTGCTTGAAGCCATCCTGCTGTCGGCACCACTGGAAAAACTCTAGCGCGGCCTCACACCTCTTTGTTCTCTTGAGCACTGGACCGACGAGGATGGGCGACAGCGAAGCACCGTCGAGAAATCTCACAGTTTCCACGACGCCATTTCGATCGAGGGACGATGCAATGGCCTCTGCCTGGGCTGTGAGATCAAGCTCCTGTGATTCGTCCTCTTCCACCGCTGGAGCTCCCAGTGGAGCTTCCACTTGGCTCCTGGCATCGAATTGGAAAAATCCTTGATCCTGTGCTTCATCCACTGGCTTCTTCCGGCGGACCTTTGTCGCGGCTGGAACCAGTAGCTTCGTCCTGGTCGTGGCTTTCGCGATCGACCGGGTAGTACTGTCCCATCCAATCGAGAACCGGACGTTGAGAGGCGATCGCGGGAGGCGTACCTGGTAGAATGCGGCCGATTCCGCGACGCTACAAACCCTAGCAGCGTCTCCACAACGCGCTGCCATAGCGAGCTATCCAAATGCCCATCAAAATATTTTGTTAGGGTTCTTGAGCTAGAGAAGAGCCAAAATGGCGGCCGGCTCGATCGGTTTCCTCTCGCATTGCGTCCCAGGCATCGTCTCTCCGGCACCTCGGCGCAGCGCGCACAGCATTGGCGAGAAACAGGTTCTTGGCTTGAGATTTAGCGCTAGTGCCGGAATTCGCAGCAAGAATCCGAGGAGAATCGCTAGAAATATCGTGTGTAGCAGCGTTAGAAAGCTTTCGGAGGTAGAGAGCTCGAGCATCGTTCCGGAAGAGCTTAGCAAGATCCCTGCCGCGCAAGGAGTCTATGCGATCTATGACAAGCAAGGCGAGCTCCAGTTCGTAGGGATGTCTAGGAGGATTTCTACGAGTGTCCAGGGCCATGCCAGGGATTTGCCAGAGCTCTGTGGCGCTGTCAAGGTAATCCTTCATCCATTCTTTGTAAATCTTTCTTCATTGTTTCTCGTCCTTTAGGTGGCTGTGGTGGAGAGCGCGAATAGAGAAGAACTTAAGCAGGCATGGCAAGCTTGGGTGGAAGAGCACATCAAAGCTACTGGCAGTGTTCCCAGTGGAAACTCTCCCGGGAACACCACCTGGACTGCAAAGAAGAAAGCCAAGAACGATCTAAAGATGAAGCCATCGCGGGACAAGGAGCTGACCATCACGCTCGAGGAGCTCATCGGCATCGTCGTCAAGACCCACAACGTCGTCGCCTTCATCAAAGGCTCCAGGACCGCTCCACAGTGTGGCTTCTCTCACCGGGTGCTCACCATCCTCGAGCAGCAAGGCGTGGACTATGAGACAGTGAACGTTTTGGACGAAGAACACAACTCTGGTGTGAGAGAAGCCATCAAGTCTTACAGCCAGTGGCCGACGATCCCGCAAGTCTTCGTCAAGGGTGAATTTGTTGGTGGAGCTGACGTGATGAGCGAACTGGCCGAAAGTGGAGAGATTTCCAAGCTCTTTGCTCCACTAAAGAAGTGATGAGACGAGCAGTCCACAGGTAGCTCACTTTTTACAACCAAGCAAAGCAAGCTCGAGATGGACCCTCGGATGGATTCCACGTGTCAGGGGCTGTTCATCGCAGTCGACAAAACACCAAAGGAAAGTTTGATCTATGCTCTCCAGCTCGAGCCATAGCGGAAGAACAACACAGGGGAGCTATGGAGACGCCGAATTTTGTGGTATGTGTGAGGATCTCTTGTTGGTTTTTGGTGGGTTTCTCAAGATTGAGACTTTCTCGCAGGCTAAGTGTCCGGTTCTCATGTTCGAGGCAGCGCAAGGAAGCGTTTCGTGGCACTCCAGAGCTCTGATAGGAGAGCTACACATGAGGGTGCTTGAGAACGCGTTTGTGCGGCTTCAGCTGCGTGATCTCCTGGTAAGAATAGTTTTTGTTGTTGAATTTTTATGATTTCTCTCTGTTGTCAGGACGGTCAGCTCTTGTTTGAGTACACCGTGCGTGATCCCCAAGTGTTTAGTACCTTGTCGCAACAATTCTTTGTACTCCGTCACGAGGTTTGTTCGTTCTACTCAGTTTGGTATATTAATGTTTGATTCGTGGCGCTTGCTAGAATGGCAGTCACAAGGGGTTTGGTTTCAGCAATCGCAAAGCCGCGCAGGAAACGCAAGCTAGAATTCAGAGGGCTATCAACGATCTAGCCACAAAAATCACTTCTTCCTCCTGCAGCCAAGCTCAAAATGCTGCCGTTCCAAGTAAGCTGCATCCTCACTGACAATGTTTGGTTGGTCGAGTCTCATAAATGTTCTTTTCGTTTCTCCCGTGGCAGAAGTTCTTATGTCATTACACCAAGAAAGACGGAAGAGGCAAAGGCTCAAGTTCAAGGGATTGCGAAGATTGCGACACTTGTTTGGTACGTGCTTCAACTTGTCACTGTTCCAACTTACTGACACATCTCGCAGAAAGAAGTGATATCGAGATCGGCTATCCCACAGATGTCAAGCACATTGCTCACATTGGATGGGATACTACTCACTCTGTAAGTGAATAGATTTCTTCTTTCTCTTTCTTTCTCTGACGAGCTTCGACCTTGATCATGGATAGATGGACTGCTCGCGGCCACCGAATTTCACAGCCACCGCATTTAACAGTGATAGTGTGGATGTGTGCGTCGCTGGATCATGGATTTCTTCCTCTGGTAAATTTTCCTTGAGAGTTTTCCTGCCTCATTTTGCTTCCTCGTTTCCTTTCTCCAGGTTCCAAATCTCCTCCAGATCCTCCATCATATTTTGTCGACTAAAGCTTCGCGAAGATTCTTACGTAGTTTTCCGTACACGATGTCGTACATATTATTCTGGTATATCCATGACAAGATTTTTTTGTGTTTAGGGTTTAGAGTTTCTAGGGTTAGCTCGTTGTGCGGGCGCTCTCCCTCTCGCGGCGCTCATCACTCCACTCCTGCTGCTGGCTAGGCGCCTTCCGCCAAGATGAGGATTATGATCAAAGGCGGGGTGTGGAAGAACACGGAGGATGAGATCCTCAAAGCCGCGGTGATGAAATATGGCAAGAATCAGTGGGCTAGAATCTCCTCTCTACTCGTCAGGAAGTCCGCCAAGCAGTGCAAGGCTCGCTGGTACGAGTGGCTGGATCCATCGATCAAGAAGGTGAGTCGAATCCCTCTTCCCTGGATTTCTTTTTATCTCACAGATTTGCCTGCCAGACGGAATGGACCCGCGAGGAAGACGAGAAGCTCCTTCACCTCGCCAAGCTCATGCCGACGCAATGGAGAACGATCGCTCCCATCGTTGGGAGAACACCTGCCCAGTGTCTCGAAAGGTATGAGAAGCTGCTCGATGCGGCGTGCTACAAGGACGAGAGCTACGAGCCGGCTGATGATCCTCGCAAGCTCCGGCCGGGTGAGATCGATCCCAACCCAGAGTCCAAGCCGGCTAGGCCCGATCCAGTCGACATGGATGAGGACGAAAAGGAGATGCTTTCCGAGGCAAGGGCGAGGCTGGCAAACACTCGCGGTAAGAAGGCGAAGAGGAAAGCCAGGGAGAAGCAGCTGGAGGAGGCAAGGAGGCTGGCGGCGCTACAAAAGAGGAGAGAGCTCAAAGCGGCCGGCATTGGGTCTCGTCTCCGCAAGAGGAAGTTCAAAGGCATCGACTACAATGAGGAGATTCCTTTCGAGAAGAGACCACCTCCAGGCTTTTACGACGTCTCCAACGAAGAGAGGTCTGTAGCGCAGCCGCGTTTTCCGACCAACATCGAAGAGCTGGAAGGGAGAAGGCGGTCGGACATCGAGGCGCAGCTTCGCAAGCAGGACGCTGCTCGGAACAAGATCGCTCAGAGGCAGGACGCTCCATCGGCGATCATGCAAATCAGCAAGCTCAACGATCCGGAGGCTGTGAGGAAGAGGACCAAGTTGATGCTACCGGCGCCGCAGATTTCCGACAGGGAGCTCGAGGAGATTGTCAAGATGAGCTCCTCGGCGGACAATCTACCTGGAGAGGAGGAAGGGAGCAGCGCCACTCGAGCACTCGTCGCCAACTATAACCAGACTCCTCGAGCCGGGATGACTCCAGCGAGGACACCTCAGAGGACTCCGGGTGGAAAAGGCGACGCCATCATGATGGAGGCGGAGAATCTTCTCAGGCTGAGGGAGACGCAAACTCCTCTCTTTGGTGGTGAGAACCCGGAGCTTCATCCGTCCGACTTTTCGGGGGTGACGCCGAAGAAACGGGAGGTCCAGACTCCAAATGTGATTGCTACACCTCTCACGACGCCGGGAGGAGTAGGATCGACTCCTCGAATCGGAAGTACTCCCAGGGAGACGTCTTTTGCAATGACACCCAAGGGAACACCGATACGGGACGAGTTCCACATCAACGAGGGATTGGAACTCGCAGCTGACAATCCCAAGGCCGAGAAGTTGAGGCAGGCAGAAGCGAGAAGGAACCTGCAGGCTTCGCTCAAGGGATTGCCTAACGCGAAGAACTTGTACCAGATTACCGTTCTCGGCGTTCCTACGGAGCAAGAAGAAGCCGACGAGGAGATGGAGGCTGACATGGCTGACGTGATTGCAAATGCTCAAGCCGAAGAGGACGCTCGAGAAGCTGCTGTTCTCCGCAAGAGGAGTAAAGTCTTGCAGCGAGGATTGCCAAGGCCACCGCCAGCAACGGTGGAGCTGATAAGGAACACTATCCCTCGATACGCGGAAGCAGATGATCCAAAGGCGCTTATCCAGAAGGAGCTAGTCGCCTTGTTGGAGCACGACAACGCGAAATACCCCATGACGGACAAGTCTGGCAAGCCTCCGCCTGTGATACCCGAGCTGGAGGACTTGGACGAACAAGAGTTGAAGGAGGTATGCGTGTTTTACTTGCGATGGTTACTTCGTTCTTACACTCCCTTGGCACAGGCTGCGCGGGAAATAGAAGAGGAAATCACCCTTGTGAGGGCCTCTCTCGGTCACGAAGGCGCTGACTACACGGTTGTCCGGGATGCTTTAGCCGATGACATGACTTACTTCCCCCAGAAGAACGGCTACGAGCGTGCGAGCCTCGCAAGCACAGCCGAGCGGCTGGCGGCGGCACAATACGAGTTTGAGGCCGTGAAGAAGCACATAGATGGTCACACGAAGAAGGCTCTAAAGCTGGAGCAAAAGATCTCTGTCCTAACCGGAGGCTACAAGGTACGTTACGTGGTGTTCGTTCTTGCGAGCCTCTCTAACTTGATTGACTTCCAGACGAGGGGCGATGGGCTGTGGCAGCAGATCGAGGCGGCTTTCAAGGAGGCGGAGACGCTGGGCACGGAGCTGCAGTGCTATCGATCGCTGCACCAGCAAGAGCAGCTTATCGCTCCCCGCCGGATCGAGGCGTTCCAGGAGGAGGTGAAGAGGCAGAGCGACAAGGAGAGCGTCCTCCAGATGAGATACGAGCGACGCTTGTCTTGCAGGAACGATCTGAGGCGACTGGTTACCGAGCACGATGCTCGAGTTGAATCTGATCCAACAGTGTAAATATTTGTAATGGTTTATAGCGATTGTACCAGCATCTTTGATTCCACTTTGATTTAATTCTCTTTGGTTCACAGCTCTTTTCTTTAAATCAATGGTCCAACAGTCTAACAATGAACTTTACTCTGGTAAACATCCAGGAATCTCGGTTTTCCTCACATGGTGTTTGTATCACCGTGCGTAGCATAAAATATAAGGTAATCAGTTTAATAAAGTTGGAAGGAACCTTCGTTCTACTGAAATGATATGGTGTTAAAAGCATGCAAGACGCGATGTTAACGTCGGAACCTTCGTTCCACTGATTGATACGGTGCTAAACAAAAGTGACAAGGAAAAGATCAACTTAATGGAACAAGAAAGACTGTTTACGGATCGTTTACTTTGGGACTGCGTGGGCTGTTCATGAAACATGGTAGAAATGAAAAACGTGAAAGATCTCTGTTGGATCAGTGGCTCAACTCTCACTGGTATAAAACCATCTTCTCTCCCTCTATCATTCACTCATTAGAAGAGAAAGCAGCATTACTACAGAAACTCTCTCCCTCTCTAAGATCGATCGGCTCCATCACCAAAAACTTTTGCAAATTTGATCTATGGCAGCCATGTTGTTCTTGTTCATGATCATGGTGGCAGCCGCAGCGCTATAGAAGATGGTGTGTATCCGCAAGAGAGAAGAGAGGGCACGATTTCTAGCGTCGCTCCACCCCGTGAGAGACGCCCGCAAGATCTTGTGGTACATGTACTCCGTGGAATTCCCCTTCCTGTCGCAAAAGGCGCTCGAGTTTGGCACCATCCGCACGCTCGGCATCCCCGGATCACAAATCTGCTCTTCAAGACCAAGTACGGCCTCCAGAAGCGCGCCGCCGAGACCAACATTCTGGTGAGCGAGATGATCCACCACCACGTCGACAGCGATCGCGGCTCTTACGCGGTGAGGAGATTGAATGGAATCCACAGCAAGTTCAGGATCCCAAACGACCCGTCCTCTCCCTCAACGTGATCGGCCCCATTGATTTCTCCGAGAGGTTTGGATTCCGCCAGTGGACCGACAACGAGAAGCAGGCCGCCTATGTTGTGTGGCACGACGTGGGCGTGAGGATGGGCATCACAAACATCCCGGACAGCATCCCTGAGATGCGACAATACATTCGCGACTACGAGGCCAAGAACGCCATCTTCACGGACAAGAACAAGAGCATCATCCAGGATCTCAAGCATCTGGTGCTGGACGCGTTTCCTCGCCCCTTGCAGCCCCTGGTGGAGACTGGGATCTGCGCACTCATCGATCCCACAATCAGGAGCGCAGTGGGATTGGAAAAGCCGCCCGTGATTGTGGAGTGGATCATCTTGGGTGCATTCAAGCTCCTGGCTGGGAGCTGCGTGTCCGTGTTTATGCCTCCCAGACGTGTAGGGGGTGCCAAGGGCAGCATTGAGGTGGACTGGTGTCCCAATCCCGCTGCCAATCCGGAAGAATACCGGCAGCTCAACGTGAATATGTATCGGCCACCGGCATTTGAGAAAGGATACAAGTTGGCGGAGCTGGGAGCGCTGAAATCGGGCAAGCTTGGACCATACTACGATGGAGGATTGCGCTGCCCCTTCCAGCAAATGCATGCATAATACAATCGTCACTACAAGACTAATAAACTTCCGCCAACCTCAACGTCTCACTCCCACAAATAGTGCTTGTTTCGTGTTTTTGTAAACTGGGCTTAAACATTACTGAATAAACAATTTCTTCAGCTATGACAGGTGGACATACTCACCTCTATACTACAACGTTAGTAATATTTTGGAATTAAGATATATCTCTGTAATCAAAGAAAGTCCTGTGTCCAAATAACGGCATTTCCGGATCATAAGACCATTTTATCTACTTTGATTGTACATAAAATAGAGATGGTGTAATGGAGTTTTTTGTATTGTGAAGCGCAGCTGGTGTAGTGGTATCATAGTACCCTCCCACGGTACTGACCGGGGTTCGATTCCCCGGCTGCGCAGTTCCTGTCCTAGTTTTGCAATTTTTCTTGCGATTAGATGGTGTGAAGGGAGTAGTGTAAGAATGTGGTCCAGGGAGGTGTTCCTGGCGGGGATTCACAGAGGAGATTTATTGGGCGCCAAACTTGCGTTTGATTTCCTGCCAGAGAGGCATTTGATTTGCTGGAGCTTGCTCCTTGCAGCGTATGCCAAACGCGGGCATCTGGAGGAGGCAAAGATTTTGGTAGATGAGATGCCAGAGTGGGATCTTGTCTCGGCGACGACGATGGTCAATATCTTATCGGAAAGTGGTCTTGTTAGCGAATCTAAGATTTTGTTTGATCAGATGGAGCAGCGGAATGTTGTATCGTGGACAGCCATGCTCACAGCATTTGCGAAGAACGGGCATTTGCGTCAGGCGAAAGAGATCTTTGATACGATGCCCGAGAGGAACTTGGTGTCTCTCAATGCGATGCTAGCGGCGTATGTCCAGCAAGGAAGATCTGTCGAGGCCAAAGAGTTTTTTGACTCAATGCTCATGAAAGATTTGGTGTCAGCCAACACGATGCTCTCGGGGCTCGATCTAGGCGACGCGGTGGAGCTATTTGAATCCATGGAGTACATCGACATCGTCTCTTGCAATGCGATCCTCTCCGCTTACACGCGGTGCTCCCCAATCGATCAAGCCGAAAAGATCTTCCGAAGCATGCCGGTTCACAACGTGATCTCGGCCACCGCAATGCTCACGGTATATGGTCGAGCAGGAGAGATGACAAAGTGTCGAGAGATTTTCGATGCGATGCCCGAGCGAACTCTAGTTTCGTGGAGCTCCATGGTGGCAGCTTATGGATCAAGCTTTGCGGTGGAGGAGGCCAAGCAGATCTTCGATGAGATGCCGCAGCACAGTCTCGAGAGCTCCAACGCACTGCTCAATGCGTACGCTCAGCAGGGACATCTCGAGGAGTGCTCGAGATTCTTTGTGGGAATGCCCGATCGCAACGTCGTCTCGTGGACGTCCATGCTCATTGCTCACGCTCAAAGCGGCAACTTCGATTTATCATATTCGATCTTCCAACGCATGCCAGATCGTGACATCGTCTCGTGGACATGGATGATCATGGCACTCGCTCGCACCGGGAGCTTTGATCGAGCCTTGGCCACTTTTGACGCTCTCAAGGCGGAGATTCTCCCGGACGAGGCTTGCTTCCTTGCGGTGCTCGCTGTTTGCAGCCATGCAGGAAAGATGGAAGCTGGCCAAGTTTGCTTTCGATCGATGCGGCAAGACTTCGGTGTGACCAAGATCACCAAGCAGCTCTATAGTTGCATGCTGGATCTCCTGGGACGAGCTGGAAACTTGAGCTATGCCGAAGATCTCATCTCCAACATGCCATTTGATCCCGACATTTTGGATTGGAGATGCTTTCTCGCTGCTTGCAAGGCTAATCCCAGCGTTGGCCATGGAAGAACTGCCGCCAAGCGAGTCTTGGAGCTGAATCCTAGCCATGCTACATCATACGTGTTTGCGGCTAATCTTTGCGAGCGCTAAATATTCTATAGCCCTAATCCGTGACTTTTGGGTAAGCGAGTACCCTTCTTTTTCACTAATCTCTGTCCATGTTTTCCGGCTTGGTTGAACACATGAACTCTTCAATCCTTACACAACGCAGAATTAATGATATGAAAGAGCTTGAAATCCAAAGCATGATGCGGGATATCCTGGCCAAGGAGGAGGAACTCCAAATCAGACAAGAAATGCTTAACATGAGTAGAGCAAATGTTAAATTGAATCGTGATAAGCTCTACACCAAGGAGATGAGGCAAGTCGAGGACGAGATTAAAAGTTGGAACGATATTTTGTTTTGGGGCTTGTGGCAATTGTCTTTCCACCAGCTTGTGTATGCTGGATGGGCATTGTCTCTCAAAGCTACTTGTGCTCTAAAGCTTGGTGGCAGCTCAGTCCCAGATGAAAAGGTAGTTTGTTTGCTTATGTGTTTTCTGCCAATCTCTTTAACATCATTTATGCATGCTTTGACATTGAAATTTTGGCGGGGCTGGAGTATGAAGAAGATGTAAGTTTTGGTGGAGTTGGAGTGTGAAAAAGGTGGTGATAGATTTTTCCAAGGTGGCTATCGTTTTGGGCAGATATGCAGATTATAGCTTGTGTATGGCTGAGGGGAACATAGAGATGATTTGTGGCAGTGCGCTGTGCTCTGCATCTGCCATCGAGCCAATGACTCTATTGGTGGGTTCGTATGGTAAATCTGATGGGTGGCAGCAGTCAGAACTGGTTGTGCTTGTGGATGGTCTTCTGCTTTGTTCATGCATACATTCTGATGACTACAAAAACACAATGTCCTCTGCAAACTTTGCAAATGCTCTACTCTCTCTTCCCAATTCCTGTTTTTATCTTTTTAACAATCCTTCATGCCTTGTTACCTCACTATTCTCCTACAGCTTGAACTGCTCTTTGATACTGATGAAATTCTTACTGCTCTTGCTACAGAGACTACGTACCACAGAAAAAATAACCCTTGCAGCAGACACTGTGAAGGATGGATAAGCAATCGATCCCATGCTCACCACAGTAACACTAATGTATATTTAAGTATACTTGATTGCTTTGTTCCGCTGGAAGAAGCCGAGGAACTTGCGGGTAAGGAAATGAATGCCAGGATAAGTTAGTAGCAACACGGATTGAGCTAAACAGGAAGAATGTTAGCTTAATAACCTTTTGTGCCACCTCCTTCTGTTTAAACTCTGATCCATCGTGCTCGGCAGTCCTCTCAGATTCGCTCGTATCTCATCTGGAGGACACTCTCCTTGTCGCTCTGCCTCTTCACCTCCTCCTGGAATGCCTCAATTCGGCGAGGAGCGATAAGCTCTTCTTGCTGGTGAACCGATCGATAGCACTGCAGCTCCGTGCCCAGCGACTCAGCCTCCCTGAAAGCCGCCTCGATCTACTTCCACAGCCCGTCACCCCTCCTCTGGAAATGAACCAAGTTAGAGAGACTCGCAAGAATGTAATGTACCTTGTAGCCGGCTAGAACAGAGATCTTTTGCTCCAGATTTAGAGCCTTCTTCGTGTGACCTTCTTCAC